GCCTTTCTCCGCGTTCCCCCTGACCTGATGTCATCTTGCGCACCGTTCCCTTCCAAAACCACCCTCGCGCATTTCCTGTAACAGCAATGAGCAACGGTAAGACGACGGTAAACTTGGCGGCACTAGCCCCTACTGCAAACCCAAGACCTTATAATTCCTAGGTTGCGGTTCTTGGGCTTCAGAGAGCGGGATTTCGGTACGCTGCGTGGCAAACCGGTCAACGTCCGTGCCAATTCCTTGCGCGTTTCGTTGCCCCAAACTTTGTCGATGATGACGAGTACGTGTATGGTGCTGGGACGGGGACCGAAAGAGAGTAACGGGTGACGGCCAGTTCATACCATGTGCCCGAGTTATGTCCGATTTTAAATTGTGTAGAGCATGGACTGGATAAATAAAAGTAATTATATGCATCATATGTTTAATCAGGGAGATGAATACAGTTATAGGGGACTAAAAGTAGGGCTCTCTGCCGGGTAACTCCTATGCACGATGATGGGCAGAAAGAGACGGCAAGGACCCCACCGGGATCCTAACCAACCCCCTCATCAATAACCCTTGTAAGGATGTCATGACATATCACGGCACTTGCAATCGACGGTACTTCGATCGTGGCTTGAATCCCACGAGGGCCGCGATTTTGGCTCCCGGAGTAAAAAGTGATCAAATAGTGATGGAAGCTGGTCGAACCGTCGAATCCCATAGGGATTGCCCATCAATTGCATTGGTGGCAGTCTAGAGCACCTCTTGGCAGGAAGACGACGAAGTCGAGTGACCCGAAGGGACCAGACTCAGAGGCAGGAGTGCACTGTAAATAGTGAGTGGAGATGATCTGGTCTAGGTGTAGGATTGAGAACCTGCCTTCCGTATCATTCTCGGGCGTCGGCATCCCTACTGTACACATGGAGTTAGACAAGTTTTGGGATCAAAGTTTTCCCTTGGTTTAGTACTTCTCGCGGCCCCCCTTTTTTCTCGTCTCCCCTTCATTTTCGGTGTCTGGGAGAAGAAACTACGTCACTGTCTCGAGTCTCCCTCGCTTCGGGATTTGCTCTTCTTATTCCACTTGCCATTGACCCTGACTGCAGCAGGAAAACAGAAACAACCTGAATCCAATCCATCATCTTAGTCTCGAATTCCTTGAACCTCTCCCCAACTCCTCTCTCCACATGTTCTCGAAACCACACCAGCGTGTCAGTCCCGCTTGACTTGCTTCCAAAATTACTCCCTTCGGAAATCCAGGGCACTGTTAGTGGCGGCTTAGCCCGGTACGGAGAGGCTTAGGCTATTATCGTCTGTATCGGTGATTCGGTGCATTCCACTGTTCTCTCGGCCCAAGGTGTCCAGCGACTCTCGGACCAGCCAGAGAGCCCCCCCCCTCCACCCCCTCCCCCCTCCTAATCCTGCCAATTCTGCAGACAGATTGTTCCTTCGCTTCATCAGATCCGACAGGCTGTTTCGCATTCAGCTTCTATACTTCTTAGCCGATCGGATAGTTCCCCCCTCAATCTCTCTCCCTGGCAATCAGGGAAGCGACGGGGGCCACTTAGACAAGGACAGGACACGATGACGGATGAAAAGAGCTCATCGACGATCCAGGTGGGCTAGACCCATAATAATCGAATCAATTTCCCAAAGTCCAAGCACAGAGTCACATTCACTACTATTGTGGTCATATTTTCCCCCTCGTTCCCCACGTGGTCGTTCGCTCCCCCACCATCGCTTGTCGCACGACACCCGCATACAGATGACGGACGGTCACAGACCCCGATCTGACATATCGTTCACTCTCCAATCAGAGGATCGCCCTTGCATGTAACACTGACCGTCCTCTGCCTCGTAGGAACAACCCCCGTTAGACGCGTTAAGCGATAGCACCAGCGTGCTGAGTGACTACCATGCCGAAGAAATCCTCCCCTATGAAGCGGGTGATTCGCCTTTCCCAGAGGTCCGCGCGGTCGTCCGGCCGGTCGACGATCAGAATCTACCGGTCAACACGGTGCGCATGTGGGTGATTGGTGTTGTCTTTACCATAGTATGTACATGTACTAGGCGTACTATCTCCCTTGGCACAGCTACAGGGATAGCCACCAGAGGGCTCCAATCACTAACGACTGCCCCTATCATTCTTGCAGGTAGGAAGCGGTCTGAACCAATTCTTTAGCCTGCGACAGCCGAGCGTAACCATCAGTGCATTAGTCGCACAGCTGCTGGCTTATCCGATCGGATGCGCTTGGGCACAGTGGGTGCCGCTGGGCTGGATGAATCCGGACCGCCATTTCAACATCAAGGAGCATGCCCTGATCACGATCATGGCCAATGTTTCCTTCGGGTCAGCGGCAGCCACTCAGATGATCGAGGCGATGGTCAAATTCTACGGTATGCCTTCACAGGGCGGATTCGAAATCTTGCTGGTGATCACGAGTCAACTGTTCGGATTTGGCCTGGCCGGTATGGCCTCGCGCTGGCTAGTGGGCCCGGCAACCATGATCTGGCCGCAGGTGCTATCAAATGCAGCCCTACTTTCGACTCTGCATTCGCGCAAAAATCTCGTTGCCGACGGGTGGATCATTAGCCGACTCCGCTTCTTCCTGATTGTTTTTGTTTTGGGGGCCATCTGGTACTTTGCTCCGGGCTACCTCTTCTCCGCCCTCAGCACCTTCAGCTTCATCTGTTGGATTGTGCCCGGCAATGTAGTCGTGAACCAGCTATTTGGTCAGGTGACGGGATTGGGAATGTCCCTGTTGACCTTCGACTGGGCCCAGGTCGTTTTTGCGAACCAAAGCCCACTCTTGGTGCCCTTCTGGGCGGGTCTCAATGTCATGGGCTCGTTCGTCTTGTTTTACTGGGTGATCTGTCCGATTATCTACTACACCAACACCTGGTACTCGGCCTATCTGCCCATCCTCAACTCGAATACCTTTGACAACACCGGCAAGACCTACAACACCACCCGTGTAATGAACCCGGATGGGTCCTTCAATGTAGATGCTTACCGGGATTATTCCCCCATGTTTTTGCCTGCCGGGTACGCTTTGACGTATGGCATTGCGTTTGCTAACCTCACCGGGATCTTCTTCCATGTGACATTGTACCATGGAAAGGATCTGATTGAACAGTGGAAAGGGCGTGATCAAAAGGATGTCCATTCTCGGATCATGGAGACCTACAAGGGTGTTCCTTGGTGGTGGTTCGCTGCCGTCACCGTTCTTATGTTTGTGCTGAGCATTGTGACCAACGAGGCCTGGCGGACTGGTTTGCCGGCATGGGCCGTGCTGGTGGCGTTTCTTCTCCCTATCATTTACTTCGTTCCTGTGGGAATCATCAAGGCCATAACCAATATCTCCAGCAACCAGCTCAATCTTATCACCGAGTTTATCGGCGGGTATGCGTTCCTCGGTCGCCCGGTCGCAAACATGACGTTCAAGTTCTACGGCTATGTAGCCGTGTCGCAGGGGTTGGAGTAAGTCCTTTGGCTCCAATTGAAGACTGACTATCGAATCGAGGCTGATCTAAGTCTGCTCCAGGTTTGTGGCGGATATGAAATTGGCCCATTATCTCCACATTGCGCCCCGGACGCTCTTCATTGCACAGGGAATGGCCACGCTCATCGGAGCCGTGGTGCAGTGCGGTGTGACGGTGTTCATGATCACACGGATCCACAGTGTGTGTACACCTAAAGCCGCAGGGGGGTTTAGTTGTCCGCATGGGGCGGTCACCTACTCCTCCTCCTTGATCTGGGGTAAGTCCGATCTGTTCCCCACGTGGGTTACTTTTGTGCACATGTGTTGTGCAAGGCAAGCACCACGTTTTGCAAGCACCTGGTCTAATCTTTGGGGTTTGACCTTGCCAGGAGCCCTGGGACCCGAACGGAACTTTTCCCCAGGCCACATCTACGGCAACCTGCTATGGTTCTTCCTGGTCGGTCCGGTGGTAGTGGTTCTCACGTGGCTGTTGGGCCGGCGGTGGAAGAAATTCAATTACCTCTCTTGGCCGGTAGCCTTCGGCGCCATGAGCCTGGTTCCTCCCGCGACTGGCATCAATTTCTCATCTTGGTGGGTGGTCAATGTCATTTTCAATGGAATCTTGAAGCGACGGAAACCGGCCTGGTGGTCTAAGTATAGTGCGTTTACCCTTGGATCCTGCAATCTTGTTCTAGTATCGTTATCAACTAACCAGATTAGACTACGTGCTGTCCGCTGCCCTCGATGCCGGAGTCGCCGTTGCGACGGTCATTATTTTCTTCTGCATCACCCTGCCGGCGGGCAAACTGAACTGGTGGGGGAATTCGGTGTATGATCAAACCACGGATGCTCATGGCACCCCATATCTACCCCTGCCTGCAGCAGGTTACTTTGGGCCTGCCAAAGGGACTTGGGAATGATACCGAATGGGGTTCTTCTTGGATGTGTTGTGTAGTTAGTTAGTCAGTGTATGTACATAGATAGATAGATGGATCGACATTGTAGGACTTGGGAGTGCGATAGAGAACATAGATTCAGTATGTACTGTGTGTACTGTGTGTACTGTATGCGTAGAGAGATACGGAGTAGAGAGAGTTTGTGTCGTGCAAAGCAAGCAAGCAGGGACTTGGCTTGGCGGAGATCCCCGACCGGCGCTAAGCGGCGGCTGGTGCAGAGAGCTGTGCCCTTCGGCTTCCACTGCATCTTTCCCCACAGCCTCCCCTCTGCTTCCCCAAAGCCACAGCAAGCAAACATTGGCTGTTGAATTAGGTTAGTTAATATTTCCCCAACTCCGACTCTCTCTCTCTCTTCACTTCTCTTTCTCTTACTCTCACTCACTCTCTCCCCTCTCGTTCGCTCACTGCATCCTCAACAACCACCTATTAACCACACCCCCACACCCTGCAGGATTGCAATTCTTATCTTCAATCCTCTTCCCAGATAACTAAATCACAAGCATCATTAAAGGAGACATCGTTGTCATCCCGGTATGGCCTGCGGTCCGAGCCGCCCTCCCTGGTCTGTTGCTCCTCTACAGGCACCATGACGAATCGTGACCCCGACTTTCGACACCAGCTGGGCAAATTTCGTCTCGATCCATTACCAATTCCCCCGCACACGTCCCGTGCTCCTCCAGCGAATACCACTACCCCTGCTGCGCCTTCATACACTGTCTCGCCTTCCTTACAAACGTCTCTTCCGCCTCCGTTATCCCAGCAGCAGCAACCGCAACCGCAACATGCACTCCCCCCACCACACATACCTCGATCCCAAGCTTCGGTCTCCCCTGTTCCTCCACCTCGCAGTAAACGAGTCTCGACGGCCTGCGACTTCTGTCGGAAGAGAAAGAAGAAATGTGATTTCAGATATCCCAATTGTTCTGCCTGCACGCGCGCCGGGGTTCGTTGTACCATCCCCCCACCGGGTCCTCAGGTCGCCGCAGCCTCCGTGCCCCGCGATCAATTGGAGACTTTACAGAACAGGGTCCGATGGCTGGAGGAGGTCATACGCCGTAAGACGGGTATCTCGGTCGCGGAACGGCCTACAGGGGCCCAATTGGATGGGGAGGCCGATCCGGACTGGTGGTATCAGGTCCCCGCCATGATGATGGCGCGCGAGGCTCCTACGCGCTCCACCACCGCGACCACCACCCCTACAGCAGCGGCCGTATCCAGCAGCGGCTCACCACCGAACTCCTCCACCGTGGGTACAGAGTTACCCAATGTGGGCGAAATTTTCCGAGATCAATTGGAACACCGCCGCCCTTCAGTCGCCCGACCCGCCGCGTCTGCCCCCCGGGTGGTTCGGCTTCCCTCGTTGGATGAAGCGGAGCGAGTTGCGTCCCAGTACTTTGATAGCATGGGCTATCAGTACCCTTTCCTCAACCGCACGGAGTTCTTCACGAATATGCGCCGCATCTATGCAGGCGAAGTTCCTGCTCCCGAGGTCCATAATCTGTATCATATTACCATTGCGACCGCCTTGTTGATCGGGTCGGGTGATGGATCCAAAGCTGTAGAATTCTATCAGGCTGGCACTGAGACCCTCTCGTCGGCGCTACAGAACGAAGACCTGGCGGCCGTGAGAGCTTTGCTGAGCATGGCACTGTATACTATGTTCGCCACGAGTGGCCCGAGCGTATGGCATTTGCTGGGGACCGCTCTTCGCTTGGCTATCAGCTTAGGCTTACACAAAGCTCGGCCCGTGGGAAATTTGGTCGACGAGGAAATGGCGAAACGAGCATTCTGGAGTCTTTATAACCTGGACCGGCTAATTGCAAGCACCCTTGGGCGGCCGTTAGGTATCGCAGACGAGGACATCTCAGTGGGTTTGCCGCGAGAGTTCAACGATGACTGGTCTGAAGCCCCCGGGGCCAGCGCCATGACCATTCCCTTGCAGGTCGTGCGTCTCCGGCGGATCTTCTCCCGTCTTTATTCTTACTGTAGGTCATATCCTCGCCTGATGGGCTACTTTTGTTGTTTCGCGTACTTACTCTCGCAGTGTACAACAATCAGCCTCCACCACCCCCTTCTGAGGTCTTAGTCACGCTTGGGCACTTTCGTCAAGAGCTGGACGAGTGGCGTCGGGCTGCCCCAGTGTATCCACCGGCATTGCTCTACTCAACCAGCTATTATGACTACCTTTACGCGACTACTTTGCTTCTCATGTACCGCCCAAGTCCACGAAACCCAACGCCAGATGCGGCTAGCATTATAAGCTGCGGGGATGCTAGTATTCAGGTCCTCCGGTCGTACTGGGACAGCTATTCGGCAGGAAAGCTTAAGTGGATCTGGTTGACTCTCAGTCAGATATACTTTGCTGGGATCACTATCTTGTGGTGTTTGAATCACAACCTGCAAACCGTCCGTGAGGGTCTAGTGGCGCCGTGGCAGCCTGAGGAGCGAGCCATGCGGCGTGCCATTCAGGCCGTTATTGTTGTGCTAGAGGAGTTCGGCAAGCGTCGACCAGGAGTCGAGCGATTGGCGGAATCCTTTCGCAATCAGAGTACCACGATCTTTAGCCACTTCGCATACCAGCAGGAGCAGCAGCAACAGCAACAGGTGCAGCAACAGGTGCAACAACAGCAGCAACAGCAGCAACAGCAACAACAGCAACAACAGCAACAACAGCAACAACAGCAACAACAGCAACAACAACAACAACAACATCTCATTCAACCCCCACCTCCGCCTCCACCTTTGTTGGTTCCGGAGGAGCAGTCTCTGCCTCCTCAGCCGCAGCATGTTTTGATGGCGCCGCCGGTACCGATGGCACCGGTACTTGACGACGTTCTGCTGGTCGATGCATCCGGAATGGTGCCAGTAATCGATCCCCAACTGGCAGAGCAACTGTTCTATTCTTATGACTGGTTTCAGGAGGAAATGGCGACCTATTATACCCTATAATGTATTTGGAGCTTCGGCGTTGCTGGGGAAACTGTATGTGTAGAATAGAGCCAGGGGTGGGTTACCCCGCTAGATAACATGACACCCCTCATTTGTTCCCTCTTTGTCATACCTCCAATAATTTTACCTGTTATCTCCTCCATCACCACCGCCGTCACATCTCTCGCCATTTGAATTTCTTCGCCATGGCCAAGCAGTTGGCACGAACTCAGGTTTTCCATGGCACACTGATTCATACCGTCAGTTCAACTGAGCTGGTGATCCTCACCGACACGGTGATCATTGTCAATCCGACCGGCATCATCCAAGGTATCCATCCGTCCACGCCAGCAGCCACCATTTCACAACTGCTGGTGCAGCATCACGGCCTGAATCCACCTACGTATCGCTTGACCATCCTTGGTCCAACTGAATTTCTCATTCCCGGCTTCATTGACACTCACACCCACGCTCCACAGTGGGCACAACGCGGCACTGGCCGAGGCATTCCTCTTTTACAATGGCTAGAGGAGATCACGTTCCCCCACGAAGCTAGATTGGACGATCCACACTATGCACGACGGCTCTACTCAGTGTGTGTCCGAGGAGGCCTCCAGCAGGGCGTCACAACCGCCTGTTACTATGGGTCGCGTCACGCCGAGGCGTCCGTGATTCTGGCTGAAACCTGTCTCGCCCAGGGCCAACGTGCATTGATAGGCAAATGCAACATGAATCGCCACGCACCAGACTGGTACTGCGATAGCTCCACTGTTGAATCGATCACAGACACGGAAACGTTCATTCGAAAAGTCCGGGATCTGGACCCTGGCCACGAACTAGTCACTCCGGTGATCACGCCCCGATTCGCGATCAGCTGCGATGAGGAGCTTCTCCACGAGCTGGGACAGCTCGCAGCCCGCCACCCGGACCTACCAATTCAAACCCATTTCAACGAGTCACGCGGCGAGGTGGAGTTCACACGGACCCTCTTCCCCAATGACACGAGTGAGACGGAGCTCTACGAACGGCTGGGGCTTCTCAACGACCGCAGCATCCTTGCCCACGCAATCTACCCATCTGATGCGGAGATTGACCGGATGGCGCAGCTGAACTGCGGGATTGCCCACTGCCCGATCCCGAATGTGACGATGGATGTGTTCATGGTGGCACCGGTGCGAGAGTATCTGCGGCGGGACATCAAGATCGGACTCGGGACCGACTGCGGCGGGGGATATTCAAGCTCTATGCTGGAGGTGATGAAGGCCGCGTTTGTAGTCTCGACCGCCGGAAGTACCATGACTCAGGGACGCGATGAACCGTTGACTCTCACGGAGGGGTTTTACATGGCCACCTTAGGGGGCGCGCGAGTCTGTGGGCTCGAAGGAAAGGTGGGGAACTTTCGCGTTGGCAAGGAATTCGATGCGTTGCTGGTGAGGACGAAGACGGGTGTGATGGCGCCGGTGGAGGAGTCCGATGATGTAAGGACGTTGTTTGAAAAGTTTCTTATGACAGGAGATGACCGCAATATTATGCAGGTCTTTGTCAAAGGAAGGAGAGTTCATGTACTTTAATGCTGTGGTATACTGGGAAAAGGAAAAATTGAGCGATCTCTTTCTGTTTCATTCGAACTTCATACTGTAGTGACTGTGTAGTGTGTATCTATAAATGGATCCGATCCATAAACAGGGCTGACGGAAGGGGGAAAAAGCAAGGCAGGGATCAGCGCCTCAGGCATCCTCACTCCCACATGCTGTTTCAACTTCAATCGACCAAGGCTGAACCACCAACTCGACTCAATCCATCGCCCACCATTTATTTTCTTCCTGTCTTTCTCTACTCTCTAGGCTAATCTCTTCCTCTCCTTCTTCTCTGGGCTCTCTTTTATTCTTCCTGCTCTACATCTGTTTCATTCTTTTTATTGTCTCATAACTATCCTGCCGCCACTTTTCTCTCGTCAGCCTTTTTCCCTGTGCGAGTGTCTCTACGCGTTCCTGACTGCGGCATCCGTCTTCCTCAGGCACCACCCCTCTCCCATTCGTCCACCATTTCTTTGACACGATAATCACGTCGAGTTGTCATTCGTTTTTCATCTTATTATAAATTCTTTAATTCAACAGTACATACTTGAGGCCTCTCACCCACCTGCTGTTCAGGATGGCCGAAGAACCCCAAGTCATGTCTATCCAGCAACGGATTGCGGCGTTGAAACATGCGCAAGCGGGTCAGACTGGAGGCGCCGAGGCCAGTGAGCCGACGCTGATTCAACCCACCCCGTTGCCCATCCGCCCGGCTGCTCCTCCGAAACCCAAGACATTCAGTCTTCCCAATATCGATGAAGCTCCCGGCAGCAATGGATGGACTCACAGTGAAACTCCGCCGCCTACCTACAATGAATCATTTCCTAGCCCAGTCTCACGGCCGATGCCCACCCCCGCACCGGCCAAATTCAAGTCGCCCCCACCATTGCCCGTGCGCAAGCCTTCCGATCAGCAGGTCCAACAACGCCCTGCACTACCACCCCGACGGCCTACAAACCCCTCCCGGAAAGCCTCCCGGGAGTCTATGGCCTCAGACATATCGCGATCAACTACTACAAGTATAGGCCGAGCAACAATCACCTCCGTGGCCTCTTCCGACTCGGGAACAGGCCGCTCTCTGCCGCCCGCATGGGGCGAGGCGGAATTACCTCCCTTGCCTCCCAAACGACAACCCCAACTGCCCTCGCGACCCTCAGCTACATCTGTCAAAAGCAATAGTAGCTTGTCTGTGCCGCAGCTGCCTGCGCGCAGGGGATCTACTCAGAGTACCCGCTCCACCGATAGTACATATTCTCAGCCGCCCCGACCGCCCCCGCGGCTCCCATCCCGGAACAACAGCGACAGGTCACCCAGCACAAATACGGATAATACTTCGGGCGAGAGTAGATCGACCCTTCCTAACAGAAGGTTGCCTCCGCCTCCTCCATCGAACGCTGCTTTGGGTAAGCTGCAGCAGGCGGGATTCGCAGCGATCAACAGGACTACCTCTCCTGTGGAAACGAACGGTAGTCCTCCGCCGGTACCATTGGCTTCACGCCCATCCCCACCAGATCTTTCTAAACTCCAAGCCAGCAAGCCTCGCTTGCCTGCTACTAGCCCAACTGCCGGGACGTCGAATGCTGCTGCTGCACTGACGGCGGCCTGTCTGAAATGTCGGGATTTCTCGGCAGCAGACGCCCACGCCGCTCAATATCCGCGTGCGACCTTGCCGACTCACGACTTGGGCTGGTTGGCCAGAGAGCTGACGGCGCCTTTCCCCTCGCCCACCGACAAGGCTCGTGTCATCTTCACCTGGCTGCATCTTAATGTCGATTACGACGTAGAAGCCTTCTATGGTAATCGCGTGCAGCCTTCGACGCCGGCCAAGACGCTGGCTTCGGGCTTAGCGGTATGTGAAGGGTATGCAGGCCTCTTTCAAGCCCTTGCGACAGAGGCAGGCCTCGAATCTCGCAAGGTCAGTGGCCACGGCAAGGGAATCGGGTATCTGGATCCCGTTCCTGGTTCAGCGCTTCCTCCTTTCAAGGGAAACCACGCCTGGAATGTGGTGCGGATTGATAATGGGCAGTGGAAGCTGATCGACACCTGCTGGGGGGCGGGATGCGTCCAGGGGCCGGGTCAGCCCTACCGAAGACAATTCAACCCGATCCATTTCATCGAGACCAATGATGAATTCGGCCTCAAGCACTTTCCCTCCAATGGAAACGACTTTTACCGAGATGACGGGCGTCCCGGAATCAGTTGGGAGGAATACCTTATGGGCAATCCAGCCTCACCCCTTGGGGCCGAGCAGCCGTTGGTCTACTCGGATGCGGAGAAGCACAGCATCGGAGCACGCACCTATCGACCAGCGGCCAAGGAGATTGCAGTGCAGCAGGGCGGGCCGCTGCGCTTCCAGTTCGGACTCATCTGCGAGCACTGGACTCTGGAACACCACTCGCGGGCCCAGCCCGGTCTTTTCCTGTTGACGATTCACGGCGCGGATGGCCGACAGGACGACCGTCTGGTCTTCACACATTACCGGGGCACTAACCCCGGCGGCGGTGGAGATATGTGGTACCTGGACGTGCCGGATGTTCGAAGTTTAGGCACCCCGGGCCAAACGGTGCAGGTGGTGGTACTAACACGTTTTGCGGATCGGACAGATCCACGAGGTGTGACTATTACGGCGGATGAATATCGGCGTGGTGTTGGGCGGGTGGCAATGGCTTGGGCAGGTATCGCCCAATGGACACTAGTCTGAAGAGTGTCTCAACGAGTCAGGATGAGACCGATCATGGAATGGACATTTGGCCCCCTTCCCCCCTGGGGGCAATAACATCCTCCGGTTAATTAGGGCTGGCTCCAGGGATAATTCAGGATTCTTTCGTCACAACTGCAACTGACCCCGCTTGCCCAGACTTCTCGTTTGTAATTGTCATTGGGTGCCTTGTGCCATCATTACTCGTACCTTGGAAAGGTCTTGTTTTTTGGAGGGGTACTGTACGGAGTAGTTTACCCGGGGCACATACTATATTAATTACTTTCATTCCTACAACCTGACTAACTAATGATAATCAATGATGATATCCGTGAGCAACTACGCGGGAGTTTCGATCTCCGAGTGAGAAATGAGCGCAGGTAGCCGAGCACGAGCACCGGGTCCTAAAAGGCAGACTCTGCCAAAATCTGCCCTTTCCTAAACCCAACCGAGGTAGAATTTTACCTAAGACCATAGCTCTAGTGGCAAGTGTGGTTTGTGTGGTAGGTCGACGATTGGAGGAAGTATTGTGAAATAACTTAGAAAATCCGCCAATCCCTGGCTCGGGGCGGGCGATTCCGTTGCGAAGAGGGTTGCGACTTGCGAGAAGCCGTTTTCCTCGGCTAACTAATAGTCATGGAGATTAATCACTCGGTAGCAGCCGCAACGGGGAATTCACAGTTTATATAAAGGAATAAAAATAAAAGAAAGAAAAGAAAAGAAATCTTGTCACTTTGCAGTGAGTACATCAATGAGGACAAGATAAGAACTGCCCGCATGCTTTGGGGACATCACTGAGACGAACCAGTGACAATTTGTGTCTGTCTGCTCATGTTTGTTGATCGGGATTGCTGTGGTTTGAAAAGGCAGAGATTGTCGGGTAAGAAAGAAGGGACTAAGACCATCTGGGGAAAGACGGGCGGGGGGCCGAGACCCTTGATGCCCGATTCGGCAGGCCTTCGAACGGATCATGTGCTCCGCTCCGGGGAAAAAAGAATACAGAGAGCTGGAGAATTCGGGGATTGTCCGGGCCTCCACAATCCCTCCATCCCACCTTCTTCCTCCCAATCAGCCGATGTTTTCCTTTGCTTCCCCGGCCTTGTTTTGCCCCGAACAACAGATGATTCCAGAATATACCGAACAGAAAGGAGCCATCCTTCAGTCAGGCCATCGACTGAACGGATCCGATAAGCAATTCCGACAAGAAAGTTCCAAGCAATAATCGGTGAGACGGTCATCGTCACACAGCATCGCACAGCCGACTTGGCTGCTGCTGCTGCTGCTGCTTGCTTCTCGCTTGCTGCACTATGCATCATCCCCCGGTCACCGTCTCTTTCGCTGCACCGTGTGTTCTTGCGGTGGTGGTTGTCGAGTCCATCACCGGGATAGGTAGCTAGCAATGCCGATCCATCCCGATTAATTCCCACTTGGTCTCCCCTCTTCTTTTCGCGCGGTTTCGCATTTCTCGTATGTGCCCCATTGATCATTGCACATGATTATCGGGCCCGCTGAGGTATGGATTTTGATTGGGGTCCCCAGATCCCCTCCTCCTCTTCCTCCACGGCTGACTTCGGATGCCCGTTCTCGGGTCAGGGTTTTTGTTTCCTAGCCAGCTGAGGAGGAGGATTTGATTACTTCCTGCTCGTGCGGAGAAAACGGGATACCACCACGGGCCAGAGAGGGCTTTTTCATTTACCACGGCTTCGGCTCAATTGCCCCCTTAGGGTCACATTCGGCCCTCTCCGGGTGGCTCTTGCATGACGGGTACTCCGTACCGACCAATTGTTCACATTCCCTCTGCTCCTGTTTGTTGTTCCCCTTTCCTACTCATCCGGGTGGTCAATTACATCCTCGGAATTGGCTGTCCCCATCGCAGGGTAATCTGGTGTACCAGCCAAAACAAATCGTTGACGTCTCGGTTAGTTTCTCCACGCCATGTGCTGGTGTACTACTCTTCTTGCCCCAGAATGTTGGGCCATCTGACACACCCGGCTTGACCCAGGTTCAATTTCGTCTCGCGCGTCTCGGCCAGCCGATGGAATCGAATTGACCCACGGCTTCCTTCCATGTCAGCCATCCGGGCTGCATGGGATCCATCCCATCCTCGCCATAGGACAGATACCCTTAGTCTAGCTTCTTGGGGCTGAACCACATATGCGTCCTCGCTCCGCCAGGGTTCAGGCGACGCCGCAATAGAATGTATTAATTTTTTCTGTCGCGCTAATCATCTCGTCTACTAGACTACCATAATGAGCGGGGACCCTCTTGTCTCTCTCTCCCCCTCCATGGAAGGACAAGTCGGGTCGGGACAGCGCGCGCCCTAAGGTTTAGCGGTTGAAACCGGTCGTGATGGCTTGTCTTTCGCTTGTCCAAGTTATGGTGGATGCTTGGTTGGGCCACTTACGTAGTGGCAAGCATCCAGTTAATTTATTTTTTTTTTCTCTCTCTTCGTCTCTCGTGGCCCCATCCACTTCTCGCGTGCGCGTGGGTGATGCTCTCCAGGCAGGACCGCAGGACCCAGCAGTTTAAATTCCCCGTCTTTTCCCCAGTTTTCTCCTCTGCTCGTTCGTTCCCCTGATCGGTGGTGTCCCTTCTTCCCTTTCCTAGATAGACTGTGCTCAACGCTCTCCCCCTTGTGCGGAGTCTATCTTCCATCATGCAGAAGATCGGCAACATCTACTTCATTTCGGCCATCGCCGTTATCGGCGGTGGTCTTTTTGGTTTCGATATTTCGTCCATGTCTGCTATCATTAGCACACAAACCTATCTCTGCTATTTCAACCAAGGAGGCGTCAAATACGTGGATGGTGAAAAGAAATGTTCCGGTCCCACTGCCGATGTTCAGGGTGGTATCACTGCCTCCATGGCGGGTGGCTCCTGGCTGGGTGCTTTGATTTCTGGCTTCATATCGGATAGGTTTGGTCGTAAGACTTCCATTCAGGTCGGCTCAATTATCTGGTATGTTGTTTCGGATGTGTTGCGTGATGTTGCAGTCCCTAATCATGGTGATATAGGTGCATTGGTTCCATCATTGTCTGTGCTTCTCAGAACATCCCCATGCTGGTTGTTGGCCGTGTCATCAACGGTCTCAGTGTTGGTATTTGTTCCGCTCAGGTGCCCGTCTACATCTCCGAGATTGTGAGTCTATCCCGGTGCTTCCCTGCTTGTTTACCTGGTATACTAATTGTGTTCATAGGCTCCCCCTACCAAGCGTGGACGTGTGGTCGGTCTGCAACAGTGGGCTATCACCTGGGGTATCTTGATCATGTTCTAGTAAGTCAACTGAACTTTGGCTGCCTACCACTACAATGCTGACCGTCCCCACTAGCATCTCGTATGGTTGCAGTTTCATCAAGGGAACCGCTGCCTTCCGCATTCCTTGGGGCCTGCAGATGATCCCCGCGGTTTTGCTCTTCCTCGGTCTGATGCTGCTGCCCGAGTCTCCCCGTTGGTTGGCCCGTAAGGACCGCTGGGAAGAGTGCCACGCTGTCCTGACCCTGGTGCACGGTCATGGTGACCCCAACTCCCCCTTCGTCCAGCGCGAGTTCGAGGAGATCAAGAGCATCTGTGAATTCGAGCGCGCCAATGCCGACGTCACTTACCTCGAGCTCTTCAAGCCCAACATGATCAATCGCACGCACGTCGGTGTCTTCACTCAGATCTGGTCTCAGCTTACCGGGTATGTTCCAAGAATTAGTCTCTCAATCGCAGAAAGCTAACAGACCGATGCTTTACAGAATGAACGTCATGATGTACTACATCACCTACATCTTCGCGATGGCCGGCATGACCGGCAACAACAACCTGACCTCCTCCTCCATCCAATACGTGATCAACGTCATCACCACCATCCCGGCCCTGATTTGGGGAGACCGATGGGGTCGTCGTCCGACATTCCTGATCGGCTCCGTCCTGATGATGATCTTCCTCTACGCCAACGCCGGTCTCATGGCCACGTACGGTCGCCCCGCGCCGCCCGGTGGACTCGACGGCGTCGAGGCCGAGTCGTGGATCATCGAGGGCGCCGCTAGCAAGGGTGTCATCGCCTGCACCTACCTCTTCGTGGCCTCGTACGCGGTCTCCTTCGGCCCGGCCTCCTGGGTCTACCCGCCCGAGCTCTTCCCGCTGCGGGTGCGCGGCAAGGCCGTGGCGCTGTGCACCTCCTTCAACTGGGCTTTCAACTTCGCGCTCTCGTACTTCGTGCCGCCCGCCTTCGTCAACATCAAGTGGGAGGTCTACGTGCTGTTCGGCGTCTTCTGTACCGCGATGACCATCCACATCTTCTTCATGTTCCCCGAGACCACCGGTAAGACCCTCGAGGAGGTCGAGGCCATCTTCACCGACCCCAACGGTATCCCGTATATCGGTACCCCCGCCTGGAAGACCCGCAACGAGTTCAAGCACGGGGCCATGGTTGAGGAGGTCGGCTTCGACGAGGAGAAGCGCGCCGGCGGCGAGGTCGTCCACGCGGAGACTGCCGAGCCTAAGGTTTGAGGGTCTCGTACGGATGACGTGTTGATGATGTGGTGGGTTGCTTGTCCGGGGTTTGGAGATGTTGGAGGGGGCACACGACTGATGAATGCGGGATGATGAGGGATGAAAGATGATTGATTTGCATTTGGGTTGCAAAAAGAGATACCATACCATGCGTTTGTCACGGTTCTTTATACATTAATTTTAAACTTGCCTGTCTGTCGGTAGTATATACGATGTTTGATGTGAGATATGGAGAGAAGTGTGAAGAAGAATTAATAATTACTGGGCTCGGTGCTTTGAATTCGTCTCTTACTCATACACGTCCATGACGGCGACCTCATCGTCTCTGGATATGCGCATCTATAGCATGTGCGGCATAGGAGTACATCATCAGCACCATTCCATCTAGCTGACCTGAACATCCATAGGGGAAAACCAAAGGCAGAGACAACCGCTACAAATGCCTCCAAAAGCGAAAAAAAAGATAAGGTAAGGACAAAAAACCTACAACAAGATAAGGATAACAGTGGTCACAAACTGCTCTCTTGTAGGCGCTCTGTCAGCGTGTTGCTGAGTTATTGTTCTGTTTTTTTTTTTCTTATATCTTTTATGATTTTATCTTTTATAATATTCTAAACTATTATTATATTTACTTGCTCGGTACTTATAGGAATCCTACAAATTGTACTTCATATACAGAAAGTTTAATATATCAAAAAGATTATGACCTAATATACTTAATAGAGAACTATATAATTATTATATTTAAAACCGGGCTATTATCTATAGAAAGCTATTTATCTTCAAACAAATATCTTATAACAGGCAAAACAAGATTATCAAAATGTCTGTAGGGTGCCTAATAGTGAACGGTACCCCTGTTTGAAAACGATGGCACATGGAGCCGTTGTTTCCCCGACAAAAACTAATTTGTTAACAAAAAAAAAATAAAAACAAACAACCCAGAGTTCCGCGTTTTATCAAACATATGACAGTCTATCATCCTCTCGAGTCTCATATCGGGCGACCGCATAAACCTCAGCGAGATACCTTCTGCTGTGCGGCGAGATACTCCTTGCTGAACGGGTAATCGTTGTAGCCGACTTCATTTTTGGGTAGATAGAAAGTGGGCCGGTTATACTTGTTAAGCTCGATCCCATGCCGGACTCTAAACACCAGATCAGGATTGGCCAGGAAATGACGACCGAAAGCCACCAGAGTGTTCCACTTCTTGTATCGCTCTTCCAGCGCCCAGACGGCCGTCTCGGGATGATAGCCCCCGGCCACCACAACAGGGGACCGGTTCTCCCAAGCCTCCAGGATGAAGTCCAAGGTCTTGCCCTGGTTGACGGCCTTGCCGCCAAAAATCAACGCCCCGGGGTCCCCCGTGGCTTCCACCAGCGACAAGTAAGCCAGCGGCGGCACCGTGGCTTTCAACTGCGCAATCACATACAGGTACTGTCCGCGGATGTCCCCTTTCTCGGCTTGCTGGAAGGCGGCGTAGGGGGAGAGTCGCAGCGCGACGCGGTCGGCGCCCACCGCCGCCACGACGGCCCTGACGACCTCCAGGACCAGCCGGGCGCGGTTCTCGGTCGATCCGCCCCACCGGTCGGTGCGCTTGTTGACGGCGTCCGAGAGGAACTGATCGAGCAGGTAGCCGTGGGCGCAGTGCACCTCGACCCCGTCGCCGCCGGCGTCCACGACGCGCCTCGCCGTGTCCGCAAAGCTCTGGATCACCTCCACGATCTCCGCCTCGGTCATCTCCGCGGGGATGGCCTCGACGCCGGCCAGCAGGACGGGGCTGCTGGAGCGGTATCGCAGGCCTCTCTGGGCGAGGAGCTCCGGGTCCGCGGCCCGGCCCATCCCCCAGAGCTGCTGGAAGTAGTACGACCCCTGCGCGTGGACCGCGTCGATGATCGGCTTCCAGGCGGCCACCTGCCGCTCCGTCACGAAGCCCGGCGTGTGCTCCTGGCCCTCTTCGAGATGCGAGACCGCCGTCGCTTCGGATATGACTAGGGTTCCGGGCGTCGATGCACGGTCGGCATAGTACTGCGCCATGAACGGCAGCGGGGTGTGGTCGTCATCGTTGCGTTTGCGCGTCAACGGGGGGAACACGATGCGATGGTGGAGCGCCATCTTGCCCACCCGTACCGGCTCGAAGAGTCGGCTCGATCCGGGGGGGATGGTGTGCGCCACAGGCGTGGCGGGAGGCGCTGGAGCGCTGAAGGTGGTAGTGACTGTTGCCATCCCTGCTGGGTGTTGTTGGTGTTTGTGATTCGAAGTAAGGATAACAAGAAAACAGTTTGAAGTGAAATAAAAATCAGTTGCAAAGACTGTTAGGTTCGTAACAGATCGTAGAGATCATGGAAGTGAGATGGAGCACAAACAAGGGACAAACAGTCATCATTGTTGGCTATATCCCGGGTGGTATGAGATGCGTTTATATCCCTCAACTTGGACTGCGGCGGAGTTACGGAGCACTGCGGACTGATAACAACGTGAGCGGTATGTGTCTGTGTCTGTTTCCCGCCAATAGGAGCAACTCCTGCTGTCAGACGATTCCCCCGTCAGACACTGTCAGTGCTTCAATGGATTCAATGGCAAGGTCGATCCTTTTGGTTTGTTTCTGGTCAGTGCCCAGGACCCTGGTTGGAAATCAGTCACCCTCGCGGGGCGGTGCCTCAGGTTTCCGGCAACATGCAAGCCAGATATTTCCTCATCTCAACATGTGCTGTGCTCGCAGCCCTGATTGAGAGGACTGCGTAAGCCTAGGCTGACCCTTCACAAAAGTCATGATGATCTACGCCCGTTGACTTTCCCCGGTGGTTTGAGAGCCTTCTTCCGAGGGAACCTTGAAGAAACGGCACAGACCCATTGAGATCAAATGCAGTGTGGTACATCTAGCTGTCAGTCAATTTAGGTTGGGAAAATCTGCAAGAATAGACCTACAGAAGATTGGTCAGCAGCTCTCCGTCATTAACTAGTAGTTGGTCAAGACTTCGAGTTTGTCAGACAAAATTAATGAGAGTAGTTGATCATGAAGATGCCCGCGACTCCGAGGCCGCAACTCACACCACTCCGCGACTCCGCGACTCCGCAACAACTAGAGGCTTGCTAAGCACTGGCGAATCGAAGAATATATAAGTACTATATCCCTTCCATTCCAGACCCAACACAATTCAGATACAAATCACATACGGCGCAGTTGGTGAAAAGGTTCAATAACAGCATCCTCCACACCATGGCAACTACCTCCAACAGCACGAAAACCAACTCATATTTCCCTTTAGCGGGTGCCCGACAGGACGGATGGTCTAATGGTGACCGAGCAACAGCTACATGCTTCTGCGGTGCTGTCCAGCTGAGCTTTGTAGGTGCCCTCGGCGTATGCCTCCTTACCTTCACTCTTTCTATGCTTACAAAAGGGCAATCCCTCCAGCCAACCCAGGGCCCTGGCCTAGTCGACACCTTCATTTGCAATTGTACGGACTGTCGGAAGATCACCGCATCAATGTTCGCCTCGAACTTTACCATCGATGACCAGCATTTGGTTCATGAGCGCGGCCGCGAGTTGCTATCGTCCTATAGCCAGTCCAAGACCGTGGCCTCGGGGAACAACATGACCAACTTCTTCTGCTCGGTTTGCGGCACCCTGATGTACCGTGTTTCGACTGGTTTTCCCGGAATGAGCATTCTACGCATTGGGACTATAGATGATTTCGCCCTGCACGAGAATCAGTTGAAGCCGCGGATTGAACAGTTTGTTAAGGATCGTGTGGGTTGGCTAAGGGCGGCTGAGGGTGTCAACCAGGTCCATGGGAATTACTATGCTTGAAGATGGTTTCAAGGTGTGGGCTGGAATATTCGATATTCAAAATGCCTAGTTCTGGTTCTAAAGAAATGTTTCTTGGGAATAACTATAAGAAAAAGGTTAACAAAAGCCTAGACTTGATCTAACCCAGAGTGCTCGGAGCATTGAACTTCAATACTTGAAAGTAGAACTGAAGACCGCTCATCTCCAGAGCCCCGAGGGAAAGGATCGCTCATGACACCAAGGGGCTTGGGCAGCACATAGTCGTCTAGCCCTTTCAGGATAGTGATGGTGATGATGATGATGATGATGATGATGACGATGATGATGGTGATGATGGTGGTGATGTTTGTCGGGATGGTGATGGTAGTGCTGTTGCTGCTGCTGCTTTCTCCGTTGCCATCGCCGAGCAAAGGCGTGCCATCCCCTGGGGCGCACCCACTTTACCCGTCCTGAGCGAGTGTTATATCCAGAGATTTGCCATGGGCATCTCATTCGACCACAGTCCAGCGCTCTATAGCCAGCGTGTCAGCGCGGACATGTAGGTGAAAATCGCAACATTGATGATGGGGTTTGGAGGTGCGGACGCTGCTACGAAATCCGCGGGGGGGGGGGGGGGGGGGGGGGGGAAAGGGGGGGGTTTGTACGCGGAGGTTTCCAAGAAAAAGAAAGGTGCCACGCACTCACCCTCTTAGAGAACGAAAGAGAGGTATTTTGGTGTCTTCCGTACTCTCTGAAAGCACTCCTGGTCTTAGGGTTAGTGCGCAGACAGAAAAAAAAACATACAACAGAAGGGATTCGCTGGTGGTCACCCACCCAACTACTAACCTCCCGGCGTGTGGCTTGAGTACGGCTGAGCGGACGGGAAGCCCTATTTTCCACACCCTGTGGTCGTATGTGATAGAAATATGCATAAGTATGATTCTTGTAGATTGTTATGTCAAATTGGCCCTGTGGTTTGTCCATTGTCAGGGTCCGAGTGAGCCTGCGTGGGAATATGGACTTCGGTGGGCTTGTCCTCCAGCCATCGGAAACTAGACTTGGTATTATGCGGCACAAGTCCATCATCCGGGTGAAATTCGGGATGAAGACACGTGCAGAAGGAATGGGCTAGCTAGATGGTTCATGGATGCCTGTGGCGGAATATTCGGTTGTGTCTTCTACTGCCAAGCGTGATGGAACATGGCGACGACACGAGGAGCTTCGTTTGGGATTTGCATCGTGGGGTTTTCAACGGGCAGCCAGCACGGAGTCTCTCGGTATGGCTCGCTTGTTTCCATGGCTGGCGCCTAGGGCAGGCAGACTTTACCGATTGAAACTTGTTTTGTTGGGGTGGGATGAATGATAGGAATTATCAAAAACAAAAAAGAATATGAGCCCAGCCCGGCTCGATCAGGCAACCTTACGATCTGGAGTCGTACGCGCTACCAATTGCGCCATAGGCCCATGTTGGGTGCATATCTTTGCTTTGCAACACCTACGATGGAGATAGAACAAATGTGTATGAGGTAGGTGCTGCGGTGATCGTATTTGACGCTGCTGGTTGTGGTTGTAAGGTAGCCAGTCCATGGTGTGGGGATGTGGATAGGTGTCGGGGCTTTGTGAAGGTGGCCTTGGAGGATGGTATATAATAGTGGTATGTTTCTTGGTTGATTCTGTTGGGTCTGGTGCGTCAGTATATATCACGAGGTACAGAGGAGAGTGGGGTTCTGTATGCGTTAGATAGCATAGAACGAATGAGTTGGGAAGATGCCTGGGGCTGGCCCTATGTCAACGCACTAGTCACCGAGGGTTACCAGGATTAAGGACACTGGACCCATCGGCAATACTGGGCCCCGGTGTTCACGAAATGCTACTTTGGGCGGCCATGCCACCAGAGTAGGCCTCCTTGCCGGCTAAACTGGACTCCCAATGCTCGTGAATGGCGTTTATGGGTCGATCTGATATTGACGATGTGAAGATTCATCCGTTCCAGGTAAGTTGATCAGCACTGTCGTCCTCTGGTCAGGATTTCACCCCAGTATCAAGCAATGGGCTGAAGAGAGTCGACTTCGATTCTGCCAAGAAGTCATTGGCAACGGCGAGACAAGCCTAAGGGTGATGATCAGATCAGCCAAAGGGTGCGCGTAAGTCTATCCCAAAGATCCTCCAAACCTCGAGTGAGCAAGATTGCACATGCCCTGATCTCGACGAACAAATTGCGGTGAGTACGGTCCAAGATATCTTCACCATCCTCAGGGGTGGCGTTGTCTTGAAGTTACACTTGCCTGGCACATTGACCCAATACCCGTATCTGGTGACTTCATATACGTTGCATTCAGAGAACAGTATTCCCGCAAGAAGCATGGACACCTAGGCATGCCTACACCAGAGGTCCATGTCCCGAGAGCAGAGCTCTACTGCACGTCGAACAGGGTCCGCTGCGACATAGATGCAATGTTGAACAACCCCTGCATGAAGTTGCCAGCTCTGAGCTATAATAGATGCGAATAGCATGGGCAAATCCAGCAGCTTGCAGTCAAGCAAGGGGGAGCATTCGTGGGACGGACGTTGTGTTGGTAAAGACGACCGTCCGTGAGGCCGGATGGCTAATTCAAGCCATTTGTTTGAATGGAAGAAGATCCTGAGTGCAATGGGGAAGACTTTGACACCATGTTATTGATTAGCACCAGCTATCGGACCGAGAGCATCATACAGCCACCGCGAATTTCATGTGACATGAACTTGCTTGAGGCGGACGGTGCCGCAGACCTCCTTCCTCGTGTTTGTTCAAGGTTCACCTGGAGAGCCTCACCGATCATAACCCTCGACCGTAGTCCGTGCCCGCTATAGAGGACTCCACTAAGCGTCTAGCAGGACCCGGTAGGATGGAGACGTACCTTTATGATCATGAAGGACCACCTAGCTGAGCAACGGCTGCAGTGTCTGTAGATAAGGCTATAATACTAGCTAGAGTCCTGAGAGCTCTTGCAGCGTCTGAGCTGTCTGTTTAGCTCTGTAAAGCTTCCCATGGTGTTGTTATGTTGCCCGACGGAATCGGGTACGCATGGACGCTGGTCTGTGTTGGAAGGTGGCCAGTCAGAAGATGATCAGATCGACTCAGTGAAAGCGCAGCAGCTCGTCATATCTATATAAGAGGGCATGAGAAGATGGAGACATTTAAATGGCGCGACTGTTGCATGTGTCCGGTTGATGGACGAAGTTGTGTCTTGCTGGACTGAGAAGAGTAGATAGGAATTGAGTCCCGTGGCAATTTGAACATATTGCGCTCATTGTGTCAGCAATGCATAGAATGGGCCTATGGCGCAATTGGTAGCGCGTACGACTCCAGATCGTAAGGTTGCCTGATCGAGCCGGGCTGGGCTCATCCATTCTTTTTAGTTTTTGTCTCAACTTCCCCAACCATTGTCTGCAATCAACATCTGAGCTTACCACCACTGCATTTGTTTTGTCGATATCACGTCCCACAGTCCATGTCCTCACAGCTTGGACAGTTTGTACCAGCAATGGCCCGCATACCACAACATGATAACCCATCCAGCGTTCAATAAGATCTCTCCCTCGGCTGGACCTATACTCCTTCCCCACCCCCAACCACAACAAGAATAAAGAAACCACAATTATAACACCAGGTAAAGTCCCACCAAGCCCCCCAAATCCCTTATCCGCATACCCTCGGATACCCGACCCTCGCACAGAAAGCCGAACCCTCCCCCAAAGCAATGATGACCCTGCCTGCATGGTCTAGACCTACAACCCCGCAACTGACCGGAGGACAAAGATCAAGATAAAGGAAGCATACAACACCAGCTCCCAAGCCCCAACAAACAAACACAACATAACAGATCATCCCAACCCTCCACCCAACTCAAACCCTACCAAGCAATCATGACACCCGCCCCCCGCCTCGCCAACAAAATCGCCATCGTAACAGGCTCCTCCTCCGGCCTGGGCCGCGCCATCACCCTCCGGTACGCCCGCGAAGGCGCAAAGCTCATCTGCGCTGACCTCACCCCGACCGCCCGCGCACAAGTCCCCTCCGAGACCTCAATCGCGACGCATGACCTCATCGTGCAGGGCGGCGGGGAGGCCGTCTTCGTGAAGACGGACGTCGGGGATGCGGGGGATATGGAGCGGGTGGTGCAGACGGCGGTGGATGTGTTTGGGCGGTTGGATATGTGAGACCCCCCCCCCTTCCCCCTTTCCGCGGCCTGTTTGTTCCCCAAGAAAAAAAAAACAAAGAACAAGAACGAGCGAGTAGGCTAATCTGACTGTCAGTCTCGTCAACAACGCCGGCGTCGCACTCGAAGCAAGAACTCCCGCCGTGTGCCACTTGACCGAGGAGGAGGTGTGGGACACCACGATGCGCGTCAACAGCAAGTCTGTCTTCCTGGGGTGCAAGTACGCGACGGCCCAGATGTTGAAGCAGGAGCCGCATCAGCCCTCCGGGGATCGCGGGTGGATCATCAATATGTCGTCGATCATGGGGATTGTGGCGGGGTTGGAGAATGGTGAGTCTCCCATTTTGATTCTGGTGAGTGTGTGTGTGGGGATATTGTGGTTAGCAGGCTTGACAGATGGACGTGAAAGCTAATTTGTTTTCTGGGTGAAGTTTCCTACTGTGCGTCGAAAGGCGCGGTGAGCAATCTCACGAAACAGGTGGCGCTGGACTATGCGCCCCACAGGATTCATGTTAATGCTCTTTGCCCGGGTTGTAAGTGATGGGGAGTATCTAGGTTTGAGGCTTGTGCTGTTTACTGACGGCTACAATGCAGACACTCAGACGGCTATCTTTCAAGAGACAACGGCCTACATGACCCCTCTCGAGGATCTGCAGCAGCGGCATCCGTTCAAGGGGCCCGGGATGCCGGATGATATTGCTCGGATGGCGGTGGTGTTGGCTAGTGAGGACGCCAGTTGGGTGACTGGGATTCTTTTGCCGGTGGATGGCGGTTATACTGCGCGGTAGGGTCAATTCTGCATTCTTCGAGAGGATTAAGACAAGACGAGATTCAGAAGACGGGCGAGGGATTAAAGAGCTGTGAATACTGGAGTGAAAGAATGATGTTATTTGTTCAGTCTAGCTATGTTACCTTGGAGAGAAAGAAATAAATGAAGCATACATGCTTGTCATTCTTGCTCTACCAGCTGAAGCATCAATGCCACATTGTTTATCATTCATAAATCATATAACAGATTAAATATTAAGCTTATCTAGTACATAGGAATCCAAACCGCAGCCAAGACCCAAAATGACTTCCATCATGATCTACCTTATTTCGCCGTAAACCGGCTCCGAGCCCTCAAAGCCGCCCCGTAGTAGTACAGCGCGAACATCCCGCCAATGCAGCCCACCGTCAACCCGGCCAGCAGACTCACCCCCTGTCCCACCCCAAGATTCAGATAGAGCGGGCGGGCAAACAGCACCGCGCCGCAAGCGAGCGCACTGCGCATGAAGTCATTCCCAGCGAACAGGCTCGCCGCATACTGCGGGTACGTCATCGGGATGTAGATGAAGATGCACTGGATCAGGGTGAAGATCCCGATCGTGTACAGCAGGATTCCGACCACCGATACGATCCAATGAACCGAGGCGCGCGAGGTCCATCCGAAAATGAACAGTCCAATCGGCGGGAGGAAGGAGGCAAATAGCGCGGGGATGAGTCGGCGTTCCGGGGCGCCCGGGCCGCGTGTACGGATCTCGGGCTCGAAGACCTTGTACAGGTACAAGAAGTAGAGGGGGACGGCGATGGCGAGGGCCACGGCGATGCTCAGAAAGACGAGGCCCATCTCACCGAGGTTGAAGTGGTAGATGTCAATGTAGACAATCGGGAAGACCTCGAAGAACGAGTAGTAGATCCCGTAGATTAGACTAGTGTAGACGTTGAAGAAGAGAATCGCTGGGTCGAGGAAGACGATCTGGAACGGCCGATACAGCGCTTCCATTGCCACGGCGGTGACGGTCAATTGCTTCTGCTTAATTTCGGACAGCGAGCGCAATTTGTCATTGTCAGACACCCGGCGCAGGCGGCGCGCCCGCCGCAGGAGAATGGCATCCGGGAACGTTTCAGGCAAGCAGAAAAACATGAGGACGAGAATTGGGGCCGACAGCCAGACGGTTTCCCAGAGGGACCACCGCCAGCCCTTGACGGGAACGCTGAAGCCTGAGATCAGGGGACCCAGGGCGGGACCCAGGGTCGCAAAGGCCGCCCAGGTGGTGAGCCCGTAAGGCAATTTCAACAGGCTGTACACGTCGCCGATGCTAGCGCCCCCAGTCGCCAGACATGGGCTGCCAAAGAAGCCCTGCAGAAAGCGAAGGACAAGAAGACCTCCGAACGTGTCGACCACCGCGGCGCCAATGGTGAAGATGACAAAAAGCGCGAAGGTAATGATGTACGGCGGATTGCGGCCGATACTGGGGATCTCGCTAATCGGAGAGAAGATCAGGGGCCCAATCCCGTACCCCAGGACGTACAGAGCCAACCCCAGAGATGCGGCAGTTGCCGAGACGCCAAAACGGATTTGTATTTCCGGAGCGCTGGGCGTATAGATCGACGAGCCCAGGTAAACAGCAAAAGTGTAGAGGTAAATCTGAGTCACAACGAACAGCTTCTTGCCGGAGGACCAATTCTGCGGGTTGGCCGGATCATGAGTCGTGTACCAGTCCACTAGAATGGTACCGTCGTCGGTTTTTGTTGGCGCTATAGGTCGGCTGGGAGCCGCCTGCAGTGCTTCGGTCTGCGTAGCGACCGAGTACAGGCGAGCCAGGTCGTCTTGAGTGCGGACCTTCTCAAGATCGGTCATTGACGGCACTCGGCTCAAGTTGGTAGCTGTTTCGGATGCAGAAGCATCTTCAGATTGTCGTTCGTTGGTGTTGGGGTCGGAATCCGAGCCCTTCTCCCTGTCCGCTTCAAAGATTGTCGCCGAAGCGGCATTTCCTGCATAGCAATTGGGGCACTTAAAGTCCGGACGCTCCTCAGGGTAGGGCAGGACTTTGTTCCTAGTGACCCATCGCAGAAGCTGTCCAGCTGTGCTATCGCGGATGATAGAATCCATGATCGAATGTGGTTGAGAACCGGCGGATCGGTGATTGTGTACTGAAACATTGTATCGAAGACATTACGGCCATATTTATCCTCATTCTGAAGTGCATACTGAAAACTCGTGCTCGTGTTGGAATTATTCAGCGTGGAGGAGACAAAGCAACCATGCGCTTCCACCGATGTTGTTTTCAGTCATTATTCAGCAGCACCCGCAGAAAACACGAGGGGTGGTGATTACTGATCACAAACCCTGGGTGAACCATTGGTTCTCACCAAGCCACGCCATCATCGAGGATCTGACAAAGCATGAGATTTCTAAGTCAGATCTGTAAGATAACCTACCTTCATGAATCATCTAGGGAGCTTAAGACCTGAACATTTGGAAAATGTCTCAGCTCGTTTGGCTAAGCTTCGTGAGTCAGTCGGACTCCAGGATCTTGGCAAAATCAAAACTTTGATTTGTCATGCAAGCACTGCACCAGGGATGTTTGACGCAGAGCAAATGGCTGTACAATATATGATGTACATGTTGGCCTGGCAGCACACAATGACCTACCATGCAAGAACCCGGGTCTCAACTCCTTCCATGCTCGTGAAGATGGAACTCAGTGGTCTTCTCGATATATGATCGGTGCGCCTCTTCTGCTCGAAGAATGTTCTCCTGGCTACTCGTACCATCCTGCACCTTGGGCGCGTCTATGTGGGTGTCGAAGAGCGATTGGTCCGGCATGCGGCGTACAAAGTGAATGGGCTTCAGCTTGAGACTGGGGCCGCTCAACTCATAGCCCGACGTTGAGCGGCGGGTTCGATGAACAAGGGCAGTGTACGATTGACACAGGGTCGGCAAGGTCGCGCAAATAATGATGAGATACATCTGGACCGTACGTTAGCACCTACTGCAAGGTTGCAAGCAGCGCAGTATTGTACCTCAATCCTGTTTGATCCACGGTCAGAATGTATTAAGCGCCAGTCTAATGGAACAATGGTGAGTCTCACGTATACCACACAGTGATTTCTGCCCATGACCCTACGAAGCCCAATTAGCATACTAATCTGGTCTTGGAGGTTATAGTCCACATACATGTTATGTCTGAATGAGCAGGAAGGCTCTTCAGCAAGGTAGCTTTCACCAGTGTCGCGGCTGCGGCACTACAATGACTCAGTTACGGTCCGTACAGGAAAACACGGGGATTCACTCACCAGATTCCCGCGCCCATCACTGCCAGAACTCCGATTTTGATCTCCAATGGCAGCTGAACGTGCCAGAAGACTGCGATAGGGAATATGGCAAGAGCTAGATCCGCGAAGGCGTTAAAGGCTATCCTGAAAGTCAGACTCGGATTCGATTGATCATCAGCATGTATTCAGATACTCACCCGCTTGCGAGATACCAAGCACCAGTTGAAAGCCTAAGCTGAAGCACTCGCCCGGAGTCTCAGGGCGCTATATCTTTTCGGCGGGTCGTCAAAAGCCGATAATAGCCACAATAGCTAATGTGTTCCAAATGATCGAGATTATAGTTAGGACGTATAAGAACCATCGCTTGCTTGGAGTGGCTGCCTGGCCCATCAGGCGCAGCAAAAATATCACGACAGATATTTTGCCTGTTATGGTACGGAGTACTGATGACGGAGAAGTTCGGTGCGATCACCGTATACTTGAATGCTTGAATCCTGGCTTCTCAGTCTGCGATATCTCTCAAGTGCTTCCCCAGGCCATACCTTATGCCAATCTGTACCAAGCTAGAGCATACAAGAGCATTAGCCTGTCAGGGGTCACCCGCGTTAGCGAGGTTCCTTCGAGAATCGGATCTTCACAGGCCTTATACCAGGGAGACAATGATGAGCCCATCATCCCAGCCGGCTTTCTGCGTCAGCCATAATCTGGTGTACAGCCGAAGCACCACAGCCAGGCTGGCAATGCTGCCAAAGATCCAAGGTGCAGCTTCGATCTCATTGCCCTTGTCAATGGCCATGATGAGACGAACGATGAACGAATGATGTTGCCATACGTACTTTACGGACAATCGGAGCGGATTCATACGCAGTCACTTGCGTAGCGTCGTCAGACGCTCGTGTTCTCTGTTGGCAGGGATTGTTATTGCGTCCTACACAAGCGACTACATATTGAAAATTAGCCAGGTGTCTAGGGACCCGAATGCCTAGAACTCGAGACTAGATCCGGTGAAAGTCGGCCTCTGGTCATACAACAATCGAGGTGGATCTTGTTGACCTTGGCAGTTCACCAGATCACTTAGCCCCAATGCCTCGGAGAACCATGGCCTTTTCTTTTCTTGAGATTCAAGTGTTGGGCTAATTTTGAGATTGATCTGTGAGAGGTTTTTCCGAAACAACCCAGGCTAACAGAAATTGGTTGTTCGGTTGCTTGGTCGGTAAAATCGGCCGCAGCTCCTTCAATTGTTGCGGCGTAGCTTGGTTGCATATTTGGCGTCTTCAAAGCACGGTGACCCTATTAAGCACGTCAACCAAGTGGAACAAGTATATATTAATTGCCTCATGCTATGATCGACGAGGTTAGAAGCACGGGTGAACACCCCTGCATCGCCCGCTGTCCACCTGCCACTAACGCCGCTAACCTTGGCCTAAAGTCCATTCCACCATTAGGGGCAAGCCCAGGAAGGTCTTAGGCTATGACCATGATTGAAGGCAAGTTGAATCATAACTATGCCTGTCACTCACAATCTCTGCCAGTGGTAATTTCGGGATGATGCCGGGGTGCAACTCCATCGAAGGGGAAACGTGCCTTATTAAGTAGGAAAACCGTACTAAACCATGCAAACCTCGATTAAGTGTATAAAGGAGGAACCCACGCTCGGTAGGGATATATATAATCTAGATATAGGCCAGCCGAAAGAGAAGACTCTGGAGGTCAATTTCAGATTTGTGTCCTGATCGATCACGCGCTTAGCCGCCTATACCACCACCCTCACCCACTGATATGCCCTCAAACGAGAATTATTATAATGGCGCCTCGATGCAGACTGAAGAGTTGCTAAGGCGAGTCAATCAGTCAGCAAACACGTTCAACGATTCTCATGGCGAGGCCGACCGCCTGAAAGCACTGCGCGCGGCACAGGAACTGGTGACTGCACTCCAAAAGCCGCAGGATGCGGTGTACAACCTCGCTTATTCAGTATGAAATCAGTTCTTATAGCCAGGTTGAAGGTGTCTAATGTTGACAAGCCCACCCATGTGATGTGTGTTAGGATCGCCATTGATCTGGATATTTTCACCACCTTGAGCGAAAGGAACTGCCCGACGACATTGGAGGATTTGGCGGTTGTCAAGGGCGCTGATCCCATCCTGACAGGCGAGCAAATCTTTTCCCTCTTCCCTGAGCTTTCTGACAATATGATATAGAACGTGTCTTGCGCATTTTGGCCGGCATCGACTATGTGGCGGAGCATGATGTGAGAGTGTATACCCCAACGGCAATGACGAGGCAAATGACCGACCGTTTGAGTCTAGCGGTGGTGAAGTTTATGTGCGTAATTTTCAGTCTCCTCTGACAGCAAGTGATCTGACAACGCGAGATTGTATGTTATAGCTTCGATGTCGGGATGCCCACGCTCGCCAAAGTCCCGGAGTTTCTGCGAATGACTGAGTACCAAAATCCCTCGGGTCCTTTGAACGGTGCAATCCACCATGCGGAGAAGATGGACACTATCATCTGGGAGTGGCTCGCCACAAAACCGGGATACCTGGACGCCTGCAACACGTTCATGGAAGCGGATCGGGGCAGCCGACCCAGCTGGTTGGAGTGGTTTCCGGTTCAGGAGCAATTGATCGACGGTTTCCAAAAGGGTGACACTGATGTGCTCCTTGTAGACGTAGCAGGAGGACGTGGACATAATATTGCTGCCTTCCAGACCAAATTCCCCAATGCACCAGGTCGATTGGTACTGGAGGATCTCCCGCAGGTTCTAGATAGTGCAGTGGTTCACCCTAAGATTGAACACATACCTTTCGATCTGTTCAAGCAGCAGCCGATACAAGGTCAGTTATGGTCACTCAAACCAATTTATCAAATTGCTAACCAAAGTGCCCCTCTAGGTGCGCGGACTTACTATCTGAAATTCATCCTGCACGATTGGTCGGATGAGGATTGTCGGATCCTGAGGCAGGTCGGAGCGGCCATGAAGAAGGGATACTCGAAATTGATCATCGAGGAGTTTGTGCTTGCGGATAGAGACTGTGCTATGCTGCCTGCTATGTGGGACTGGGAGATGTTGATCTTTTGCAATAGCATGGAACGTACGGCGGGCCGGTGGAGGAGCTTGGTCGGTTCTGCAGGCTTCCGAGTAGTGAAATTTTGGCCTCCTCCAGGGGATGGACAGGGTATAATTGAAGCGGAGCTGGAGTAGAACTGGCTCGTGTAATTTAAGAACGCTTGTGGAGACGGCTGGGGCAGCTACTAGGCAGATGGGGGATGAAAGAAGGCGGAAGGAAGGGATAGCTTGGGAGGCAGCGCCAAACCCGATGTTTAGAGGAGCATCAAGACTAAGCCGCAAGGATTGAGTGAAGCTACTTCCGCAGAGACAAACGAGTTAAGAAGATAATGCCATGGGTATCATGTTGATATTATTAGCTCATCCAGACAAGGCAGGCATTAGCCCCATTAATATGTAGCCTAAGTATGCATCAAAGTAGAGATGTTCGTTCGAGCACGGAAAACAGCACTTGACCGGATGCTCAGGTATTAATTACAGCTTCATGTCTCCCCCACCCCAACGGAAGCGACCCTAGTCCGAGGAAGGACACCAGTCATAGTATCCATTCACGTTGTTGCCCCACCATGTCGGGAAGTTATGCGCTGGTCCTCCAGCTCCGAACACCGCGAACGAGAGGATGAATACGACCGTCAAGCTAGCTCCGTCAAAGGCACCAGTGATCAGGTACGAGTAGTCCTTGAAGACCCGGGGCTTGAAGTTGCGGAGGTAGTACTGGACGTAAAAGCCCGCGATGACCCAGCTGAAGAGGATGCAGGTCTGGCTCTGATTGTAAGGGATATAGCCCGCGTACTGAATGAATTGCGGCATGTTGATCTCGGAGACGTCAAATTTCCCGATCCGCGGAACAAGCTAGAATGAAGCATGAGTATGTCAGTTTTGTTCCCGGCTAGGACAGAACAGGGGATGGTCTTCGTGTTGACAAAGCTACTCACCTTATGAATAATCTTGTGAACGGCAACCACAGCAGCACCGATTGCCAACCCAGCGGGAACGATACTGTATTGCTTACCAGCCCTATAGAGGTAGGATGCCAGGGCCCAAGAGGTCGCGTTGGTATTGTATGATTGCATGGTTGCGCCACTCCAGGACGAGTCTCCGTTGCTGTCTGCCAAAAGTTCGCGGTTGCCGCTCACAATCGAGATCATGACAGCATAGTTGATGAAGCCGCCAAGAATCGTGCCGTAGATCTGGGTCAAGAACATGACACGGGGTGGAATTTTGACTAAGACAGAGCATTAGTTTCCGCGTGGTCGTGGGACTCTAGTGACACTCACGGTATTCGCCCATCTTCAGGTCATTGGACAAGGTCACAGCATTGGAAATGACATTGTGTGACCACGCAGCAAAGTACATGTTTCCAACAGGGCGGCCCGGAATCATCAGGCCAGCCAACATCTTAGACAGGTTGTTGGTGGCGATTCCATTGCCATACTTGGAATAGAGGATAGTACTCTGTTGCAGAATTGTTAGTCAGACTCTTTCAATTGTTTGTGCCATGGAAACACTCACGAATGGCGCGAAGATTATTCCGACTATCAGCGAGACGACATATGCCCAGGCAGGAAGGGTGACGTTCTCCTTGAGGACCACGACCAGACCCAGGATGAAGCTAAAAAGCAGCACGAAGGCGTACCACCACCATGGAGTTTCTTTGTAATGCTTTGCCATGTGCACGTGGTGCCGATCGTCGTATTTACCTGCTCTTGCACTCTTGTAAGTCCGCCAGATATCTCTTCCCCAAAAGAGGATGGTGTGTGCAACCAAAGCACCAATCTGGGCGGGTTTTAGCTTTTATCTTCAAGCGAAACAGGGTCACACCTACTGCGGCGTTGGCCATAAACATGGAAAAGGCAAATGAACCCGTGAGTTTGGGAACACCGTAAACTTCCAGGGCGCCTTCATCAAGCACTCCCCCAGGGAAGATTGTGGCGACGGGGTAGGCTGTTCCATTTGCCTGGAGCAGGCGTGTCGACATGAAGGGAAGTGACTTTGAATCCCAGCCATTGCCGTAATAGATACCAAGCATGATAATGAAGCAGGCGAAAAATCCCGTTGCTTGGTGAATCTGCAATTTTAGAGGGAGTGAGGTTTGGAAGGAGGTGATCTGCATCGGTCAGATTTGCAACAGATTGCACACAATGAGCATCATCTTACGTATTGCCAGTCAAAGCTGAGTGTAAACAAGCCCAGACCCTCATTGTTGGTTGCTCCACCAAAGAGATTGGTAAGTATGGCAGCCTTATTGCCGGTGGCTTTCTGGGCAGCTAAACACTGTATTTCGGAGACTTGTCAGACTTTGCAAAACACTCGTTTTTGGACAATATAAAGGCCACATACCGGGATAGAGACAGAGTTCAGCCATGGAAAGATGTAGGCAGGGATAATCTCATACACAGCCATGCCGCTGAAAGCATACCAGAAATATCGGAGTGGCTTGGAATTCTTCACCTGCTGCCAATGAAGCCCCTGCAGGGTTTTGACGACGGGTAGAGTACTCCAGTAGACGGCCTCTGGATGCCAGACTGCTATGGGACGCATGATACCACAGAGACCATAGCCAAATAGACCAATTGAGATGGTGCTTAGAATGACGGTGGTCGCGCTCAGAGGAAGGTTATAGAAGAGGTCCTGGGCCGCAAAGACCTGCACACTGGCGGCAGCATTCGAGGCTGAGGTGGCAGTGATAGAGCAGATGGCGTGCTCCTTCAGACCAAATGGCCCAGGATTGAGGAACCTGAAGACCGCAATCCACCATGGAGCCTTGCCCTGGCCGCCCTGTGCCCTCCACCGCGCCTCAAATTTATCGCCACGAGGGAGGAAACGAGCCCAAGCATTGCCGACAAAGTACGAGATGAGGACGATAAAAGTTCCTTGGATGGTGATGAAGGTGGGTTTAAACTGTGATTCCTGTCGTCAGTCGCGGCACGGAAGAATCCTCATGGGGATATCTCTCTCGGCCTACCGTGTAGATCTGGTACATGACAGCCTGGAAGCAGGCCAAACCAGAAGCCAGGACCACGCTGCGGAAGGTCAGGGCACTGTCAAAATCATCACGTAGCGGCAGCAAGTGCACCGCTGCATCCGCTCCGGTGATAATCACAGCATCTGGATCTTCATCACTCTCATGGCCGGTGTGGTCCACATCGGTCTTGAGCTCCTCGCCTTTGCCAAGCACAGTGATGGCCGTCTTCTCCTCAACAGGGGTTGAGTTGGAGGCCGACAGACTTTCACCATCAATGGGCGAAGTGGACAATGGAGGGGCCATGGTGGCTGGCTCTCACTGGTGAAGGAGGGGTGAAGGTAAATGATTCTTGAGCTGAGCTGGCCGCCCGTTTTCGTGAGTTGGCGACGCACACCTCTTATATTCTTGCACCACGTTACATGAATTAGAGGCTAACCTTAGCTCGCTGTTGTGATCAGTGAGTCCGTGATACCATAGAGCCGGGAAATGAGCCATTCCGAATGAATGGAACACATTAGTCCTTGCCACTGGGCTTACTGCTAGACTGACATACTAAATCACTAGGCCTATAGTAACACACCACCAAGAAAATGAGCATGATAGCCCCTTCCAGCTTGTGACCCCTCTTGCTCTTGGCCCGATTTGCCTCCCTTGCCCCCGTCGAAAGTCTGGGCTGCCCAGCTTGCTAGTTGAAATGGTAAGTGAGCCATTGCCGCGTCTAGGTTGGCCTACTACTGCGGACGCAGAATGAAGGGTAAATCACTCACACCATTGCGTGGCGTTATCAGTCCGCGAATTTCCGCTGTGCCATCACACCTTGATGCACTTTCGAGGGATTCTCTGGCAAGGGTTGTTGGTAAAATGCCCAACGTGAGTGGTGCCATGAGCTGGAAGATAAGACAGGGCTAACCTGCCAGGGAGATAACTCCATCGATATGCTGTCAACGTAGCATCCGCATGGCAGGCGGCAAATTTGGAATCAAACCTACCACGGGATTCCTACGGACCACCGACGCCAGATCTCCTAGGGCCACGATCTAAGCCCGATGATTTGTTCTGAGCATAGGCTAATGTGATTCCGCCATAGATGCAATGTAGCCCTATTCGCGCTAGTGGTCGGCGGGACGAAAGACGCAAGAACCTCACTGTAAGACGTCTTGCACCAACAATTGTCGTGATTGCTGGTAGCCCTGCTGGACACTCGCTCCAGCATGTTCGTGGTAGTATATGTCTCCTAGGCATTCCAGTTCGTTGACCCTACTACCCTCCACGTGGTTATCGACGCAAGTCACAATGTGAACCCAATCTCGACATTATAGCAAACACCCCTCCGCACCGGAGCGTGGGGAAGGTTCAGGGCAGCCTTCCTTGGGACTGATAAGCAGCGTGTCTTGGCCTTCCACCCAACGTCAACAGAACGCCAATGAGGTCTTGGCCTCCATTGACTTTCGTCGCGCGAACACGTATATTAAATGCCCACCATCAATACGAATCGAGCCAATCTGAAGCAGGCGCATCTTCCTAGGATTATGGAAGGAAGTTCGAAAGTCAGAACATTGTGTATTATCGAATGGCTCGATGATATAAAGGATTCGTGGCGAGAAATGTCTTTGACCAGGTGTCTGGGCACTCGTACGCGGGGGGAGGGGGAAGATAAGTAGCGAGAGCCGAGGCCTGCCACGGCGTGAGGTCCAGTCCGTGAGGGGTTCTTATCTGCATATCTGCGTATCTGCATATCTGCGTATCTGCGTATCTGCGCATCTGCGCATCTGTGCATCTGTGTGCACCTGACACTTTTGAATCCCCGGAATTGAAGATGATACTCGTGAGACATTCGAGGATATATACCCAATGAAAAAATCGCACGATGTGTCTGGCTGCAGTTGGTCACCAGCGCGACCTACTGTACTGTACACTGGCGCAAGAAGAGTAGGGTACGATTTGGATTTAAAATCGGGCGGAGGACACAAATACAACCGTGCAGTACAACAGCAGTAGCATCTGAGGGCGACAGGCTTGCTATCGACCTCGCATGAATGTAGCGGTGGCAGGAGGTATGAAAGCAAGATGAAGTGAGACTGAAAAGGAAGTGCTGTCCGTTCTTGCTTGTTTGTTGCATTCCTTCAGGGAACGAATGTTTGGCCTGGTCTGATGTAAGCCGGGTAACTTTACAGTTCTTGTAGCCTTAGGCAGTCAAGCAAGAACCAACCCATCAAGAACCCATCATCTCATTTTTGATCGATCTTCTGTCCAAACTTCCGCCCACCGCAGTCTTGATTCCAAGCTCTAAATTGTGCCAATTCCAGTACAGTCCCTTTGTATCAGCTGTCATTAAAGCTAGCAATGGTCCATTGACATTGTCCTAGTACACCCGATGGCCGCCTCAGCCCCTACAACACATCGTGGCATCGATGGCTATGGGAAAGTTTGGAACGAGGCGTGAGGGCTTGTGACCCAGTTGGCCATATGGAGGAGATGTAGCTGATGACTTAGCACTCTCACCACCAGCTGCTCCATTGGCACTGATCACCGTCCATTGCAATGCAAAGCAATGTTGCTTACTGAACGAGACAGGTGACGATTCGGGATGTGGCTATTTTATACGATTGGGTCAAAATGCGAAGTCGCCTGCAAGAGCCAAACGAGAGAGGCTTCCTTCTATCCTTGTCTTCGAGGAATACTTATAGTCCGACCGGGGAATATCTCGCGAGTCTCGACCATTTTTATGTTTCACCACGCCCTGGACTTGCATACAATACATGCTTTCCAACCTGAGTCAAGCACTTTCCCAGCTTGACCTAGATGGCTCCCAACCAATTGTATCAGCCCATGTAACTCTCCTACCTTTGGCAATCAGACTCCAGATTTATCGTTCCCCTCCTACTGCTCGCATCTCGCCTCACGGTCGTCTGGTCCCTCGATTTCTATAGCCCCAACAACGTCTCTGTGAAATATCATGGCCATATGGCAGTCCAAGCCTACAACTGGTCTGACCTGAATAATATTCCAGAGTCGCTGACAATTCGTGAAATTGATGTGCTGGCCCAAGGCCTACCGAAGATTTCTCTGTTGTTGTCCTGAGTCTCAATGAGAGTGGCGAAACGTTGAGGATCTACGGACTGCATCGGCAAGATATGCCTGCATAGCCAAAACACGGACGGGAAGATGCAGCGGGTGGAGCCGGCATGGAGCGAAAAGCTCCATGTACGAGACTAACTGACACGAGCACTCCAGATTGTGGCTTTGTAAAAAAGAGGCGCAGTGAGGCAAATATTTTCACACAACCTCCATTTCATGAGGACAAAGTCTAACTGCATATTTTTCGAGATGAATGACAGAATGTCAATCGAAAAATCCCCCCCCCCCCCATTCAATAAAGATTTCGGGCTCAGAATTCACATTTTCGAACAGGCAGACAGACCTTTCCCACTGACACGACACACCGCCAATTCGAGAGATCTTCCACTATTGCCAAGTAGCTTCTCGTCCCTCCCCACAAAAGCAGTCTGGTCGGCTGGATCGCTAAACCTTGCCGTGTTTCGAGAAGCCTCCAAGGAATGGCTGTCGAACTCAATTTCCCCCAGCTGCGATAAATGCATGCGAATTCTAGGGGTCACTTGCTTCGGACTTGCCGATTTATTCGATAATAAAGATATCGAGATCAACACCAGGCAAGACCTGAATGACCCACCGCGCTTCATCACTTGGACAACTTGGACTTCACGCCCGTATCAATATGTGGTCAAAACAACCGATCGGAGAGGGCAAATCGAGGCTAAAACACCTGACCAACGCCAAGGACGAGACCTACTTGATCTAATCCTAATGGAGTAGTATGTATCGACTAGTTTGTATAGTCTAGTCTGGTCTAGCTCGCTCTCGAGAATCTCTCCATCGCCACCCGGCTGGCCGACAGATCCGTGGTGGAAAATCTGTCAACCTGCATGCAGAGTCTGGGAGGAGAAGCAATATGTGGGGAGAGCTTGCTTTACTCTTCCCGATTCCATGTTGCTCTCGCATTAAAGATGGGGAGAGTTGTCCACGACAGAATTCATGCAATGAGGTCATCAACCCTTCATCGCAATACCAGACCTGATTCTATCCCGGCAGATTCCTCAATGTGGACACGAGCTCGTTCCATCTTCAAAGCTTCCGACCCCGGTGGCTGATCACAGCGGAGCTGAACACACTCCAGGTATTTACCTGAGCGATACACGGTGAGTCAATCGACGCACTGGTCTGATCGTTATCGAGGAGCGGTGACTGAGGTTGAGACCTTGAGATACTGCTTTCCCTTCCGGGCATGGGTCCCCCATGTCTGGCCTCGACCGCACAAATGGGACGGGCTCCATCATGAAAAACTTTCACCAGGCCCACCATAGCTCGATGATCCACCTAGCTGAAATGCGAAGCTCAGAGTCTCGCCCGCCATGGTGAAAATGCTTCTGCGCTGGAAGGCTCTTGCCCGGGGAAAACTTAAATAAGAGACGATCCTCGTCCGTCATCCCTCCTCTGTGCGAATCAGTCCTCTATTCCTCTTCGCGTCCTTCTCCTTTCACATACACACAATGAAGGCTGTTACTTCCTGGAGCCTTGTGGCCCTCCTGCTGCAGGCCGCTGGCACTAACGCCGCGATCCGGACCGATCTCGGCGCCCGCAATGTGCAGATCGCGGAGATGGACGGCACTGGTGTCCGCCATGGGGATCAGATTGTCTTCTCCGACCCCCGCTCCGACTTCGAGGAGTACTTCCGTTGCGCTCCCGCGTCCGGCAAGCACCTCACCTTCAGCGCGTCTGGACGGTATGCTGCCTGCTGCTACCCCTCTCAGCAGCTTATTGGCAGCATTGACACTGCCTTTGACTGCTGCGGTGAGGGCCACGAGCTCGCTGGCTCCAACAGAACTGGGTACCGCTGCTGCCCTATCAGCCAGATCTTCGATGGCAAGGTCTGCAAGGCCCCTCAGCCTGTGTGTACTAAGGGCAAAGTGCTGGTGAACAACAAGTGCGTCTGCCCCGCCGGATACTTCGAGAACGCTCTGGGCAACTGTGAGCGTACCTGCACCTCCGGTATCTCCACTGGTAAGTTACAATCACTGGAATCTCCCATCCTTTCAAGTTTCAAGTAGCTAAAATGATGGTCTTCCGCAGGCAAGTGCTACACTTTCACCTGGGAGAACGCCGAGCGTCTCGGCTTCAACGCTGAGGGTTACTACCTCGCCGCTCAGGACGACCTCCAGCAGAAGTTCGGCAAGTTCCAGCTCTGCAAGGACGAAGTCTGCACGCCCAACCTCCCCGTCAACCCCGAGGACGGCTTCCGCATCAAGGACCTGCACGGCAACCCTGTTGACGGCCAGCAGCCTGGGCTGTGGCTCAACAACGCCCACAACGGCGGCCAGATCGGCAAGACCGTGCACTGGGACAAGGCGGGCGAGTTCTCCCTCACCAAGTGGCCCTGCGGCAAGTACTGCCTGACCGGATACGACAACGGTCTGGGCGTTGCCTACCCCGCCCTGACCCCTGCCTTCACCTTCACGACCTATGACCAGCAGTCGTGCATCCCCATCGATATCACCGAGGTGCCCTGCGACGTCCGTCACCCCAACAACAACTGCATCTGGAAGAACGGCAAGGACCAGTGCTGCAACTCGGTGGATTGCACCGCCCAGGTGTAAGTGAACAAAAAAAAAACAAAAACAAAAAACACACACTCACACTCACACTCACACTTAATAAACGAATGTATTGTTATTTGTATGCATGTTATGGTGGACAAGAAGAAATGAGCGAATGAAGAGAAGAACCAAAGCAAGATATGAGCAATGCCAATAATCGTTGATGTCCTTTTTCTTTTCTGGCTTGTGTATGAAATTGAACTTGTTTTGTTGCTGCCTGCCTCCTTTTCTCGCTATGATTACTTCGTTCCATGTATGTATACTAAGACTGGTTGATAGGGTCTCTTTCAAATATAATAACCCCGTGATTCTGTTGATCCTGGTGTTGGTGTCTCTCCATCTTCTGTGGTGTCATATTTCGCCGTTTTTCTATTTCGGTTGATTCGACCGGGCGATTTTGAAACTTTCTTTGCTTTATGTATAATGAAATCAGAATGCGACGATTCACTTTTTTTATGAGATAGTCCCTTTTGAGATTTTTGCCCCGCAGTGACACCTTCTGCATGGGGTTTCGTAATGCCTGGCAGCCTGTCACTCTGCCCCAGTACGGAAGAAAGCGCAGGCCGACGTGTTCGCTGGCACAGTGGGCTTAAAGCCCGATTCGGATTGAGAATCCGACTATCTACTGGGACCACTTGGAGCCCAGCGGCCCACTGAACTGAGCGACTCTGGGTCTGATTGTAGCTGCTGCTGCTGCTACTTCTCGAGTACGCAGCGCTCGCAGTCATCTTCAGATCTGGACTGCACAGCTTCGATCTTAAACCACACTATTATCCCCACCACATTCCCATGGCCCACTTATCAGTATCCGAAATCAAAGACAACTTTTCCCCTAACCAAACGAACAATTCATCCACAAACGCATGCATCACTCACAAACCAACAGGACACAGAACCAAAGAGGAAAAGAAAGGGAGGGGGGGGGGCTTCTACCTCCCCGCCCAAAACCTCAAGAAAGCCTCCCTCTTCCCCTTAACCCCGGCCCTTTCCTTTTCCCTCTCCCTCTCCTCCTCCCGCAGAACCAAACCATCATTCCCGACCGGCACGACCGCATTCTGCGCCTTACCCAGGAAGAAATCCGTCTGGAACCAGGCGGCGACGAGCGGCACGAAGGCCAGCGCCAGCGCGGGGGCCAGACAGTAGTACAGGGTGCGGCGGTAGGCCTCGACGGCGCCGACGCGCATGGGGTCGTCGATCGCGTACAGCGTGCGGATGGACTTGGGGCTGCCGAACAGCTTGCGCACGTCGGACTGCGTGGCGGTCGCGGGCAGGTGCGCGCGCAGCTGGCGGGGCATCTGCGCGGCCCAGATGACGGCCACGATGGCGGAGCCGATGGCGCTGCCGATCTTCGACCACAGGGACAGGAGCGAGATGGCGAGGGCGACGTCCTGGTGCGGCACCGAGGCCTGGGAGGCGACGCGCGACCCGACGACGGACATCGACCCGCCGAAGCCGATCAGGATCATGGACAGGATCATCGCAGCGGTGTTGGCGGTCGCGCGGTGGCCATCCAACAAAATGCCCATGCCGATGATCTTGATGCACAGGCCCGTGATCTGGATGGTTTTGTAGCGGTGCGTCCAGCGTTGGAGGAGACCGGTCAGGGGGCCTGCAATGCAGAGGGCTAGCGTTAGGGTGTTGCTGTAGTATACCCAGTTCTGGTAGGACCAGGGCTTTGAGACGTAGACGTAGGAACTCCAGTAGAGGCCGCGCATGTTTCCGGCGACTGGTCATGGCGGGAAAGCGGGAGGGGTTAGTGTTGTGATTTGCATATAGGATGATGACGGGGGGCTGTCCGGGGATAACGTACGCATATAGAAACTATCAATAACGATGGACATGATGAAGGTTTTGTTGAAGATGAGTCGACGAGGGGCGCTGGGGACACGCGCCCACTTCATTTCATAGATGATATAGGCAATCAATAGCAGTCCACCCACTATCATCATGGCGATGAGGGATTGATTGCGCCAGCCGCCATCGGCGTAGGTCTTGAGAGAGAACGGCAGAAGCAAAAGCGACCATCCAAACCCTAAAAGAATCAGACCGAAGGCGTCGATCTCTTCCAGGTTGTGTTTGAGGGCATCCATCCAGGATTGCGTGGATGAAGCAGCAGGCGCGACGACCCCTCCCCTGGGTACACTGTGGCCCTCAGCTGCAGCGAGGCCTCGAGCAGCACGTCGTGCTGTGTTCGAGGAAGCAATGTTAACGATTCCATGCTTCTTGGCTTTGTGATCAAGGTGTATTAGGGTCGCCACGGCTGGACCCAGTGCCACTGGCATGATGATGGCGAACATGCCGTAGCCCCATCGCCACTGACCTCGGCCATCGATTGCATCTACAATCTTGCCAGCAAACCAGGTGTTGATGATGAACGGAGTCGAGAGCATCGAGCTGGCAAAACCGCGCCACTCCAAGGGGGTCAGGTCCGCCACGATGATGTCGTTGGTCAGGTCCAAGCCCGAGCTGCCGATTGCGACGAAGACCTCGCCGACAATGTAGGCAGAAACAGTCTTGCAGGTTGCGGCGATGATGTATCCAATGACATAGAAGAAGAGGGTTAAGATATATGTGTAGGGCCGTGAGGTGATATCGGAGATCTTCGCAATGAAGGGCTTGCTCACAGCGCTGATGATGCTGGTTGCAATGGAGAGGGTCGATAGTACCGAGCTGTGCTGCTTGAAATAGGACGAGGCATCGACGGAGTAGTACGAGGTTGTAGAAGAATCCAGTGAATATGCCCACGCACACACGAGGACCGAGATGCCGATCAGCCAAAGCGACTTTCGGTTGGACTTGGCTTCGCGGTAGACGGCCTCCATGCGGGAGACGCCCTGAGACTGTCCCCCGTCCGGAATGGTCTTGAGGGCTTCATGGTCGACGTCTGAGTCTGCTCTTGCATTGGTGACATTAGTGATATTGTCGTCCGCCATTGTGTGATTGACCTAGATTCAGGCTACCCTCCGCAAGAAGAGTGCATTGGGGACGTAGGACGAAGACACATATTTATCCTCACGGATGCTGCCCCTTAGACTCTCTGAGCATGAAAAAATCTGTTATCTGATTCAGCACCAATAGCTCTAGTCGAATCAGATAAGGAATCAAATGATGATCTCCACAGTTATAGGGCCGTCTGCGCAAAGAGCTTTTTTTCTTAGAGCCTATCATGACGGACACCATGGGCCCATGGAAGATTCAAGACTATCAGATGTTGCCGAGCAGAGTCTTAGAGGACTGACTGAGTCCGCCTTATACAGCCTTGCTGGAAAACAGCCAAGTCGACGAAAGAAAGGATCCGAGCACTGTCTTGGTGCCATGAATCCCTTGGCTCTCTCGTCCAGTATTATAGGATTCTTGGTACCCACATACTCCATTGGGACACTCTTTCTTTCCACCCCTCGTTGCCAAGTTGCTTGGCCGCTCCTCGTCTGCGACGATCAAAGCGAACAATCTAATCAGATCAGATAAGCCAAGCTCCATCTATACCCTTGGATGACCCAACGGGTGTTATGAGTGGCCCCATGGGTTGGCCACAGCACATTAAACCAATTCTGGTATGGCCAATCATTGTTGATCAGAAATGCGGATGTCTTACTTTGGATTGCAGCCGCGGGCGAACCCTCGTATTACCCGATCAGGAAATTGGTCTCTGGGGTTGTCTGTTTGGAAGAGACCGCATCTTGACATGCAATGCTTCCAACAGCAGGAATGCAGCGAGATAGGGCTATTGGTCTCATGGTGGGTTCAAGTTTGCACTGTTTTCTCCATGTAATTCAGGTGTGCTAAGATTTTCCAAGCTTGTGAAGAATGGTGATAATGGCTGACACAGGAGAATTCGCGTTCTCCTGAGCTTTCGCAAGAACAGGGACCTTCGGCGTATGTCTGTGCTTGAGGCGGTAGACTTGTGAGCTGCGCTGTGTTGGAACGCTCTGCTAGACTGATTATTGCATGCCGATTCTCCGGCCCCTGATCCGATGAATACGAAGGTGAAGCTCCTCTATTGGTCCGTTCGCTCCAAGTATAAATTGACATTTCACCATACTCCACATAGTGACTCACGAAATCAAGTAAATGTAACAAGCACCAAGAGTCGAAGCCTCATTGTGGCCGTCGGCAGCTGATGTCGGATGCTTGGAATTGATCGCGTTCTGCTTCAAGGTCGGTGCTTGGTCCTAGGAAACTCACAATGGAGTAGACCTCTGCAGCACAATCATGTTGGTGTCGCATAACGGAAGAGGGTACCCCTCTGTCTGTGATAAGACGATCTAGTGTTCGCTCGCATTAGTGTTCGAGGGGGGTGGTTGGGTTCGGCCTCTTCGAGTGCGTGTTAGTCTGCGTTGCGTAGTTACTGGTGACCATCGCGAGAGCAGGAGTTGCATTCAATATCAAGGCTATTGTGACGTAGTCAGTGCGACGATACTCGTTAGTCATAATTGGCATTCGCAAATCGAGATGAACAGCTGATGCGAGCAAACAAAAGGGCCAGATTGGCGTGCTCAATCTCTCGGGGACGAATGTTGTCTCCCTGTCTTACAGCTCGTGGTCGGCTGTTTCAGGGCCACTTGAAATCTGCTGAATGATCATACCGTGGCTTCGTGGTAGATGTGGTAGAAGAAAGGAACTCGACGTGTCTGACATTTGACCAGAGGTACTCTCAATGTCGAGTCAGTAGTCGACGAAAGTGATGATTAGTGACATGTCACGGAATCATTGAGTCATGAGTATTGGTAATCAATAAAATGTCACCCATGTGGGCCTATGGCGCAATTGGTAGCGCGTACGACTCCAGATCGTAAGGTTGCCTGATCGAGCCGGGCTGGGCTCATTTCTTTTTGCTTTCTTTTGTCTCGTCTTCAAACTCAGGTTCTCTTTCGGTCTTTTTCATGGGTGTCAAAATGAATAGCCTCTCTAGTCGAATAATAAGTGCTTGTCTTGCGGAAGGATTATGCAATGTCAGACGCGGAGCTATGTATCTTGTTGTCAGGTACGGTTTCGAGAACCAGTAACACCCATAACACTCACAGGCTTCGTCCACTGGGCGATTCTGCTTCGCCGTTGCGACCCAGTAGCGCCAGCTTCTATGTGCTGTATGATCTGCTCGTTCCATTGTCCTCACTCGCTCAACTATCCATGACATGATGAGTTCGAAGTTGCAAACGTCGCAGGTGGCTCGGTCCCTCGCCCCACGCCATATGCTGCTGTGAAGACTTCATACGATTCTGTCAGTCGGTAGGTACTCATCGATTCGAGCCCCGAGATGTGGATGGACAGTTCCTTGTGGCTCATTCATTCCAGATTATTATTCGAGCGAGACTTGACTTCCTCGCTATGTCGTTGCGGTACTCGTGATCTACAGTGTCCACAAAACGGCAGTGCGAGCAGGCTGGCGCTCAGCAATATTAGCCTGCCGTTTCATGTGTGTCTCTTAAAAATGCTTGCTCGATATCGGTCTGGTCATTGAAGGGAAAAAAGTTATTTGGTTGCACGACCATGTGCGTAAGCTCTGCCCTTGTAGACGCTTTGGTATATCTGTTTGCATCCCGTGCAGCAAAGCTGATATGCTTGATATTAATCACCAGAACCTGTCGCCGAATCGGAGATCAAGATTACAATGATAAACCAATACCACAAGATCCCAGAGCTTTGGATCTTAAGCATTCAAAATAAAGAATACGCCCAACCCCACTGCTAGTAGGCAACACAGACAGGACAGCCGACCAGCGAGGAACTATGAAGCTATCACTCTATTCTATGCTATCGTGTGCAGTGCCGCAACCTCTAGTAGCATTACAGCGGAGACTCTATATCATGGGCAACAGAATTACACTACCATCATGTCTCATTGCACCTCTGGCCGTCCAACCCGGACCACAACGAGTCAGGACAAGACACCATCCTCATTGTGCAGCGTTCATGATGCATCATTTAAATGTTTAGTCATCAAGAATGGGCCTATGGCGCAATTGGTAGCGCGTACGACTCCAGATCGTAAGGTTGCCTGATCGAGCCGGGCTGGGCTCATCCATTCTTTTTGCTCGAGATTTCCTCGTCTTCACCACCGAGGAAAGACCCCTTGCAAATCCCAGTGTACTCCTGCACGTGTGGATCGTCTATGGTCGATGCCATCCGACCCCATGTGCGTTACGCAGGCACCCGTGCAGGCAACCATAGAAGCACGGGCCTGCAATCCATGCATCACTTGCACACCATGCGATGACCGAAGATCCCGGTCCCTCATAACCCGACATCGAATCGCGAAGGCAATGCCCGGGGCGTGCAAGTTCCAACACCCTCGACCACAAACTGCAGGCTATTCCTTTTATGCAATAGCTACTGGGATACCTCCAAGTGCTGCGAAGAGTGCGATCAATGTTGCGAGATGCTATTCCCAGTAAGCGATCTGCCGAGTCAGGTTTATATCCGCCACAGTAGAGTTCACCGACCACAATGCTATAGTTTTCGTCGCGTTCTCGCAAATTTTAGATCGGGATGCTGGCGAGGGTACCTTGCACAGGGAACATGTGCTACCAAAATGGACATGAATGTCAACAAATGGGCCTATGGCGCAATTGGTAGCGCGTACGACTCCAGATCGTAAGGTTGCCTGATCGAGCCGGGCTGGGCTCATTTCGTTTTGCTTTTTGACTCTCGAACAGATAACTATTCGTTCGCTGTAAGACCTGCTGTGCAGAGTCCTTCCATAGATAGGATCTCGCCCAGGCATTGGGATTGACTCGATGAACAGAAATAAACTTTCTTCGGTGGCTGAAGCGCGGGGACGAAAGATGACCTGCTGTCACATCCCGTTGACACCACAATGCTCTCCTGTTATGTCTGCAGTTGATAACCCATGTAGGGCTTTCTGTCGATCGGTACAATGTTCCTTGGAGGCGTTACGAAGCATCCCGTACTCTTGGGGGCATAGCCTAATATTAGACGGAAATGATTTATGGTCGATGAAGGTTGAATGCCGAAGAACTTGGACGTGTCCGTGTTGATAAGAACACCGAACAGATTCGGCTGGATCTCGTGAGCGCTTCTGATCAGATTTATTCTCTTGGAACAGAGCCAGATTGAAGTAGATAACATATGCTTTCTCAGCTCGCAAACAAACCAATGTGTCTGACGAGTAGTGGGTCGTTATGGCCTCAAGTCCAGGCTACTATGGGGATGTGGCTGAGGCGCCGGAGAGACAAGGGTTGTTGCGCGAGAGGGATGGAAGGCTGTCGAAGGGTTGGTGAGGCTTGCCTCGTGCGAGCTTCGATGCCCGCGCCGACTGGAGCCGGTGTCGCGGTGGAAGTATGCAACAAATCGAGGGAAGCGGTTTCCTGGTTCGGTAGGAGAGATTGGTATAAGGTTAGTAAAAGGGGGTCGTGCGAGCCACCTGGGGCGGTAGCAAAACCAGTTGGAGCAATCAGTCACCTGATGGAGTCGAAGCCTGGAGAAGTTGAGCGGAAGCCAACTTCAGCACCATCAGATATCCGACCCTGCTGCACGTGCTTACGATTCGCCTATGGACACTCTGTGTTCCTACACTCCCGAACCAAGTGCATTATAGAGAATAAATCTATGTGCCCCAACTTTCAAGCAAGGCCATCGTGTCTCAACAATCATTGATGGACCTCAAATCAGCGGACGTGCAATGAAAACCATCAGGACGATATCTATCTTCACCGAGTACGAAGGTCACGGCACAGGTCTTAGAGAAGCAGTGCTTATCATACTTGACAATTGGCACAACAATATCTCAAAACTAGGAGAGAGAAGTTATATCTATCTATTTCACTGTGTACAAGAGATTTCACCGCTAATGCATAGCACCTGTACCTTCTCAGGTCAAAGACCTCCTTGACCTTGAACAGAAGCTCCCTCGCTCTCTTTAATATCACTCCAAAAGCATACTTCCGTTCAGTTTGTCTAGGCTTGCTTGAGCCCCCCGATCCTGCTCATGATCACAATCGGTGACAAACAGTTCGCAGCTGCCGTATCGAGTGGTCGTATACAGAAATCAACTACTCGTTTGTCTTGATCCATATAATGTTCTGTCCTCAAAAGTTGCTCCTTACAACAGAATCTGGCTCTACCTTACATCCTTTCTCGTCTCACAAACCGAAGAAATCACTACATTTCTCACAACTCGGTAGACTGGGTAACTCATGCAGGCACAGTCTCTCCTTCCATCCACGTATGAGGTGCAAGTGGGTTGATCGAAAGTCCCAACCGAAGCAGTCGCATACTCTTCAATCCGTCTTCGCTTGCCCGTTGCGTCCGCCTTGAAACTAATAAAATCGTGGCTTGATCACTTCATCCTGAAAGACACTTCCGATAACTTTCACTCTCCCACAAAGTCTTGAACCTCCAGTTTGCAATATCCAAGTGCTCGTCCATTCTCAAAACCTGCCTCAAAAACCAGCCATCGTCCTCAGCTTGCCTCCCCCCCTCCCTGTCCCATCCAAAATGGCTCTGACCTACCTTGACATGATAATCCTCATCGCTTCCATACCAGAATTTGCTCTGTTGATCCTTGCTGGCGCTCGGCTCGGGCGGCACTGTGCGCTGCGACTGTTCGCACGCGACGACCGACAGTATGTTTCGTGAGTTATCTCTTCTCTAAGGGGGGCGTGACTCCCACAAAATGTCTCGCCTTCCCAACGTTTATCTTAGCCTTACACCATCCAACCCTTCACTCCAAAGCTTATACTACTCCCAATCCTTTGCTTGCTAGCATGCTCCACAATGCATAGAGAAACTAACAAAGTATATGAAATAGCTTGCCTGTTGCCAACGTCCGCATCGCCTATACTCGGAAAAATGAAGATGAATTGCATCATGTCATGGAAATGCTCCGCCACCCTCGTATTTCAGGTCCCCTGTACTTAACGGCAATTGTCCGTTGATGACCACAGGATTAATGGCATTTCTGCTTTGTAGATTTAGGTATGCCCTCCCTCCCGGACCGAATGAGCCGGCACCACCTCCACGAATGTTAGTAGTAACAGGAACCATCACCTCCGGGGCCGGCATGAGGGGCTTAGGACGAGAGATTGAGCTTGCGAGGATTGACTGACTATTCTATTTGGTCTACTGTCTTGTTTTGCGGATTTTGATGACCTGTGTGGGGTGTGGTGGGCCTTTCTTTTCGAGGGGTGGGGTTTGTGGTTTGGTTCTTGGTCGTCTTTTTGCGTCGCCGATTGAGGGTATCAAGCAGATTATGATTATATTATCAGAGCAATAAAGCTATGAACAGGCTCATGCTCTAGCTCATTGTACTTTGGGATGCTTTTAGTGTATAACCCTTGGATAGTGACCTGGAAACAAGATAGGATTGCTCGTATTCAGGGTTGAGGTTAGTAGATAGTAATGTACAATCATGACCATAGATGCGAGATGCTGCTATGAGTAAACTTCTGTAAGGAAAACAGTTCAAAAATGTTTCTAGTAGGCAAAAAAACCTACAAGGATTATTTATGAGCTTATTACGCCCGAAGTTAGTCAGAAAACAAAATAGTGGCAATTTAAACACACAGTAACCTGCGAAGATAGGTACAGAGTGTACAAAAACCGGACAATTTTGACAGCTCGGGCAATTCCATTGCACAGTCCATGATCAACTCGAGTCACTAACCAAGTTCAATGGCAACACCAAGAACCAAAGAATGACAACAATGGACACGTCCCAATAGTACAACCAATCTCACAGCTAGGCAGCACTTTTGATCAAACCCAGGTTTCCCTGCTTGAGATTCGGCACGAAGCCATTGATTACATCCGTACTGAAGCTGTCCATGTTCAGGGTGTCTTCAGTGCGCAATAGCTTTCTCACATGATGACGAATTTCATCCTCCGATCCATGGGCAGCAGCACAGAAATTGATTGTCTGATCTAGCTCTTCCTGGGTTATTTTATCCGGACTGACGTCGGCGGTTCCCTGAATGACTACACATGCGTTATTTAGCGCGTTGAAAAGCATGATTTAGACAAGGAAGGAGCAACAGGCTTACTGGGTCTGATGATGTTGAATGCGCGGTCGAAATTGTCTTCGTGAAGATCACTCAAGACCGGTTTCGATTGACTGCGAATCTGCTGGTACGCGCTCATAACCACGAGCATGAAACGGATGTAGCTGTCGGAAACCTTGTCAGAGTGCCAGGATGCAGCCAGCGCTTCGTCGCAGTCGCCACGCAAAGCAGCACAGATAGTTGTGGCAGCCGAAAGACCACCGACCAGGGCCAGGTGAACGCCCGACGAGAAGTAAGGGTCGATGAAGCATCCTGCATCACCAACAATGCGAGCATGCGGTATTGCATACGCAGAGGCGCTGTAGGAGTAATCACAAGCTGATTTAATAGGGCTGATGAGCTCTGCTTTACAAAGCAGACGCTGAATTTCCGGTACCAGGTTCAGCGTGTGATGGTAGAACTCCTCCTGCCCCAAGCCAGACTCGCGCTTTTTCACAGTCCAAGTCTTGCGGTTTCTCACAATTCCCACCGAAACGGTCCCATTGTGCAGAGGAATAAGCCAGACCCAGCCACTTTCGTCTAATGATTGAGGCAAGATCGGTTAGTGTCGCGACGAGGAAGGATGGAGAAGAAACATATGATTACCGTGCAATGCCTCGAAGAAAGGTTGATTCTCCAGGGACGTATCCTTTGCATAAGGCTCAGCTCCTTGCCAGTATCCCCAATGGGCGATGTTCTTGAGACTCTCGTTGTATCGGCGGTTATGGAGGTACTTGGTGCTAAGCAAACCCCTTCGACCACTCGCGTCGACCAGATAGTCGAAGGCGATTTCTCTGACCTCACGAGACTCGTCTAGTTGACTCACATAGGAGGCGGAAACAGGCTTGCCAAGCTGAGAATACGCATCCGGAGCAAACTGGATGGACTTGACCATGACACCGTCGAAAGTCTTTGCGCCGCATGTCGCTGCGTGCTGAAACATCAAATAGTCAGCCTCAGAGCGGACAACATTCCACGCGTAGTTGTCGGGCCCCCCAGCGGCGAGGAAATCAGTATCTGTACACCACAGAGACCTATTAGCAATAGGAACAGAAGGAAGCCTAGTAGTCCCATACTCCCAGCTCGCTTGGCTTTATCCAACTTAAAGGATGCCCCAAACTACACGCCTTTGATTAGTTGTTGCAGTCCCTAGTAGGGGGAAGAACAAATTACCTTCTTTGTGAAGCCGTAATGGTCGAAAGCCTGATCCAAGTCAATGAAACGAAGCAGATGGCGCATTGATGGCAGCATGCTCTCCCCGATATGGTAACTGGAAAAAGTCTCAGTCTTGCAATGGAACAGATCGCTAAGAAAGAGCTGAACGGATGGTATTTACCGAGGGAACTGGTCTGCTTCTAGTAACACTGTATCAATACCCTCTCGAGCCAGAGCAGCAGCACAGTATGAGCCACCTGGCCCACCACCAATCACAAGGACAGTACAACGTCCTGGGATGTTCTGTGAAATCGTGACCATGATGGCACCGAGCTTGGGGCTGGTAGGTGGAGATGAACAAGGGAGGGAGACATCTTGTGCTCATATATAACAACACGAAAGGTAGATCAGCTGTTGAGCTTGACTCTCTGTTATTCACCGATTAGTGGTCACCTCAAAAAAGTTTGTTTGTTTAGTATATTCGTGGCTGACAGCCAATGAATCGGAGCGCTTGATCGGTTATAGATGCCCAGGTGCTATGGCCCTTAGCCCGAGGGCAAACCACAGTTTGCAATCATGAACCGACTGAAACATCCTAGAGCAAGCTTCTATAGCGTATCTGTAGCCAGCTGAAAGCTATCTCACCAGGCTGCGCGATGTTAACTGGGTGCCTGAGCGATCGCCGTGGACGATCGAACCATGCCAGCTAAGGCTACCGCAGTAGCGATCCATGATGACTGCTGACTGCAGTTGTCGATAGCTGGAGCATCAGGATAAGCGATATTTGCGAGAAAGAAATGAAAGCTTTGAGCAAGTAGTTGGAGTCCTATTGATTATAGATACTTATCCCTGGCATGTAAAATCCCATTTCAGCAGGTACGCTTGGGTCCATCGCATGGCCGCCAGTGCAGGGGAGCTCTATATTGTGTCACAATCCTGTCAAGATAAACCATAATGTCTTGTATCGATGCATCGAGGTGCATATTGGCAGAGCTGAGGGTTTCTCCCCCATTGTTCACAGATACAAGCATGCGTCATTGTGTGACTGTTACTTGTGCGTGCTGGAGGGTGGAGATTGAGACACCTCCTAGTTCATCTTATGTAGTCAATGTAGTGAGATTGAAGAGGATTATCTCAGAATTTAGACTGAGACATTGAACCAGTCACGAAGGTATGTAGAAGCAGGGGTGCGAGATAGCCAGCCTTACAGCAACAACAGCAACAGAAAGAACCAGCAAACTACCCCGCCCAGCCGCCCTCAGCCTTCCAGCCTTGTCTTCCTTCAAAGATTCAAGGTCTCAACGTTCCATTCACTCCTTTCCTCAACACGAACCCCTCCACTAGAATATTCGCCTAGCGTCGTCGTCATACCACCCGTACAATGAGCAAATCATTGTCAATCCTCTGTTTCGGCAACTCCTTGACAGCAGGATACTACAATTATGGGCTGGCTTACCACCCTTACGCCTGGAAACTGGAAGAACGCCTCAAGGCTGCATTTCCAACCCACACCATCCGGATTGATGTCGACGGGCTTCCGGGCGACATGGTCAATAGCCCCCCGGGGCGTTTTCTGCCTCGCTTGGAGCAGAAATGTAAGCCTTCAAGCGTCCGACATTCCCTACCTACCTCTGTCATACACCGATGAGAAATTAACCGAAAGATTGAACCGGTTCAGGCGAAGCAACATCTTATGATTGGGTGATTATGCTTGGTGGGACAAAGTAGGGGGGGATCTCCGCTTCCTGATTCACCCTCTGTTCAATACTGATCTGTGATATACGCAGTGACCTCGGCTACATGTACCCCGCTGAAAAGATCCTTCCCGGGTTGATTCAGGCCTGGACCATGGCTATAAAAAGCGGCGCCAATGTGCTAGCTCTGACAGTCCCTGAATGCGGGGCAGTGCATCAGCGGTTGAATAATACGCGGGCGGAGCTCAACTCGCAGATCTTGAGTTATGATGCTGATAGCTTGTGAGTATTCTAAATCTCAAAGGTGATAATTGGTTTGACCTGACTGATTAGTTATGTCTTTGATCTTCACAAAGAGGTCCCCTATCACAGCGCTGCACAGGACTTCAAGGAGAAGATCTGGGATGACGGAGTCCATATGAAACCAGATGGCTATGATCTTGTTGGGAATTTGATCGCAGACCATTTGATTCAATTACTTAGCTAGAAACAAGAGGTAGACCAGGGTATCCAGGACTTTCAGATTCAAATCCTTGTCATGCAGAGTCATACGTGCTCTGAACGAGGTAGAGAGATCAATACGGCCGAGGGAGCAGATATACCTGATAACTCCGAGTTAGACGATACTAATGCTACATAAAAGGAGGCTTTACGAGAGGGTGCATAATATAGAATGACTTCTACCACTCCACTAAGTAAAAAATGCCGCCACCTTTGTATTATTTGGGGTGGATCCAAACAGCTCACGATGGATTCAATAGTAGGATGCATTATCCTTCACCCGGCTTAGTGTGATCTTTCTACCATCGAACCCAATCTCAAAACCCTGCGATTGCTCCCTTTCTTCCTACCCCACACTTACAGACACCTCCTGCATGATGAAGCAACAAAAAACTCAACAAGATGACCGGGTATTTGTAAACATTTCGCGACCCGATGAAATCAAGTCCGCCTCCACCCAGCGCACCATCCGACGTACGGTCATGCGGGACATCGGGAGATCGCGTCGGACACAGCGAAAGCCACGAACCTGGGCCTTGTCTGTGAGACCGCCCGTCAATTCAAGCACAACGGCCATCGATACTCTCCCTTCATTGACGAATACGAGCATTCCGGCTTCCATTGACCCATGCAATACCGCTTACTACCCCGTTCCTCTCGACGACCGAGGGCTACAGCTGATGCACTTCAGTACACTCCCCACATGTCAATTCATCCTACCATCTGAGTGTATAGCTTACCAACTACAGTGACAAGCGACAAGGACTATGTTTTCCGACCGTTTCGCTCCGTCTGGTTCTCCATGGCGTTGACCGATCCCAGCGCCATCTTCGTGGCCTTGGCGAACGCTGCCATGTTTTTTGACCAAAGAGTCCGCGCGCAGGAGTTCAAGTATGAGAAAAGCTCCGAGTGCCTAGCGTACTACGGAAGATGTGTGCAGCAAGTAAGGGCCCGGTTGGGAAGCGTCAAGGAAAGTCTCAGCGAAGGTGTTATTACCGCTATTCTGGGATTGATCTGTCATGATGTAAGGCAGGCTTACTCTCATGAATCGATTGTATTGAAGATTGACTAGTGCTGAAGCTTTATGTTGGAATGGGCGACCGATGGAATACTCATTTCACCGGCCTTGAGCGTATCATTCGATGCAGAGGAGGGTACCATGGTCTCGCTCCTAATGTGGCCTTGTTTGCCTTTTGGTATGGTTTTCAGCTGGCAATATGATCTTCTCGAGGAGGTTGGACATGAGCTGACGGCTTCGTGACTAGGCTCGATGTTGTTGGGAGTGTGGCGGAGGATGCTCATCCTCGAATGCCAAAGCCATCAGGGCTCGCAGCATACCTGGATGCGGTCCCTCCGGATGTTATAGCGCCCTCGGTAAGAGGCCTGCTCGATGATTTGTCTATCAGAGACGGAGCTTTTTGTGATGTGGCGATCGCCTTCAACTACGTGGCATCCGTCGCTATCACCGTTGATAGAATACAACGTCACCCCGAGCCATCCTGGCAGCGTGAAGACAGCCTTACCATAATCAAATTGTTCGGACCTGCAACACACTTCCTTCTGTCCATGTCGAGGCCTATGGATCTTGATTCCAGCCCGCAAGAAACTAAATTTCTTAGAGAAGCCATACGGTTGGCTCTCCTGTTGCTCCTTGCAGCTTTGAAGAAAGACGTCTTTCGGTTCACTTCAAGCGAATGGCCACACCTGCAGCGTAAATTCACAGCTTTTGTTGCCTTCCTACCCGTGACCAAGTATGATGCTCTATGCTTGAAGCTATACTTGTGGGCGCTGGTGACTGTCTCATTAATTGCAGACCCGAACCCAAATAATTTGTATACAGCGGAAATCAGGTCCGCAATCAGTTCTCTAGGCATTGATGTCAATGACGCTTTGAAATTAGTTAAGAGCATTCTTTGGGTTGACGCGTTGCACATTCAGACCGACCGGTTGATTTCACAACTTACCCCAGCCAACATGTAATTAGAATGAGTACACAAACAAGCTGATCTGAAGCCACCCTCAACCACCCACTATTCCGCCACTGACTGAGATTACTTGCCCCGATATCCATCGACTTTTCTCGGAGCACAACAGAAGCACCGCATCCGCGACATCCTCCACAGTGCCTACCCTCTCTTCTACCCGGGTCATGGGTACCATAGTCTTGTGAATCTTCTCTGCCACATGAGGTGGCACACCGTCCGTATCCACGGGACCAGGTGAAACCGTGTTGATCGTTATACCGCCATGACCGCGGCCCAGCTAAAGGAAAATCAGCACGCTCTTCTATTTTATGCTTGTACAATAGTACAGATGCATCTCAACTTACCTCACCTGCCATAGCAAGTGTCAATGCATCCGTTGCCGCCTTCGAGGCGAGGTAAATTGGCGACCCTGAAACTCCTAACTTTGACGCAACGGAGCCGATGTTGATGACACGGCTGCACGGGGGCATGTGTGCCACGGCAGCTTGAATCAGATAGAGAGGCCCAAAGACATTCACGCCGAAGGTGGTTGCCATAGACTCTGGGGTCGCCGTCAGTGCAGGACCAGGAAACCCCGCCCCTGCATTGTTGACTGCAAGCCTCGAGTAAGCCATCAGATCCCGGTAAGCGCTAAGACAGAGCTCACCTAGTATATCGATCTTCCCAAACGCGGTGACCGTCTCCCCTACAAGTCTTTGTGCCTCCTCAGGGCGGGAAATGTCTGCCTGGACGACAAGTACCTTTCCGCCTGCAGCAACTAAATCCTCAGCCACTGCTGCAGCGGAGGATGCTGTTGACGAAGAGACGTAGTTGATGACAACAGATGCACCATGTTGTGCAAGAGTAGTGGCTATGCCGGCGCCAATGCCTCTCGTCTTGCCTGAACCAGTAATGAGGGCCACTTTGCCTTGGAGGCTAAGAGAGGAATTGGACTGGGCTCTCATTGCGAGGTAAAACTTGTGATTCGAGTTTTTGGACATTCGAGAGAAACGAAGCGCCTTTTATGTCCTTTTCTGACCTTGAAAAGAACCCATCGGAGCTCTAGTGAGCCATTTCCTGCTTATGAAGGATGCCGTGGACTACAAGCTGTGAAGCATGAGCCTGGTGGAGCGCTATACTTTATTGCCTATTTGGGAAAACGGTATCTCAACCGTGCATATTGACCTAGCTGGAATGAGTTAGGCATTTCTCCACTGCTCGTGGCCATTTATATATACTAATATCTATGCGATGATGCGACTGGTTCGCAGCCGAAACCTTGGGTATCTGCGGTCTTTGGACTATCAATATGACAAGTGACGGAATCGCTTTAAATTGAAGAGATTTTTAGTTTCTATAAGCCCTTGCGACTTGCCATCGATAAGGTCGTTGTCAACACCATCATCGTGGGCCTAAGTGCTAGGCTGGCTTGGCTTGGTGCATTTTTCTGCCACCGCCTCTTCGTTTGCACTGGTTGTTCACTAATATGCGATGGTGCTGAGAATGAGATGAGCTACTATACTAATCATCCATCAAAAATGTGGATTTAGTGGCTTCCTCAAAGGCTCCCATAGCAAAAATCATTGACGAAGGACCAGCTTACAACACTAATTCCGTATAATCAATACTATGCCTGGAAACATAACGGACCAAGTAAGGTTCGAATTGCTCAGACACATGGATCCTCTGATTCCTGCAGAATGCAACATGGTTGTCTTATAGACGAAAGACCGCTGCGATTACAGTACCGAGGATCACACATGTCCTTTGCCGAGATGAGGCTGAATCTCCTTTTCTGCTTCTTTAGGTGGGCTGTCGTAATCGTATCTGATCCATGATGAAGAATGAACTATCCACACACATAAGATGAGGCGGTGAGGTCTCTCGACCAATGAAATGCCAGCAAATCTGCTAGTATCGCTGCCAAGAAGACTAAAAATCAGATTCGACCCAATGGCACGCGCACAAACAACGTGGATCGTATTTTTATACACTGATAGTTATGCAGTACTGCATATTACGGAGTACATAGTACCTAATTATTCAGTTCTGCCCAGTGACGGAAGAAGACCACGACAATCAGGGGTCAGCCTGACAATGGTCCGACAGGGTAATGATCGTGTGGAGTAGTCGGGGAAACTGAACTGCCCGAAGACCAATCTAACTTTACTTTGGGGCTAGGAGAATAAAGAGAAGGGGGGGGGGGGGGGGAAGAGAAAAGAAGACGAAAACGCAGAAAAACCCCTGGAAAAAGAGAAAGACGGGGCCCGTAAAGGAAGACATTGCGAGGCCGGAGCGGAAGGATGCTTGGACCATCCGTCGTCTACACAACTCAACATTAGCACTACACTTTCTCCGTCTTGCGGGCCGCCTCTTCTTCTTCCCTTCTTCTTTCTTCAACCTCCTGCTTCCTCACGGTTCGCCCTCCTCGATTCGCACTTGCGTCTGCGGCTCCTTTTCCTTTTTTTTTCTCCTTTCTCTTCTTCTTATAGCCCTTTTTGTCTTTTCCTGTTGCCCTCTGGGTCGCTCTCCTTCAGTACACTCTGTTGGTCGATCATCCCCCTTCCCGCGCGCTCTGTCAAGTCCCGGCGCTTCACATTCCGCTCCGCTCGGTACTTTTTCCCCGTGCGCCTTTCTGCTTTCGGTGGCTAGAAGAGGGCCGTTGGATACGAAGAGGGAGGCATCACCGGTCCTTTGTCCAGCACACAAGCAGGCGATATATTATCAGTCACATCCTGCCACTCTGTTCAGCATGGTTCGAGGACGGAGATCGAGCAATCTGGGTGCGGACATCCGCGGTGACACTGGCGCACCGGCCATGTCTACCATGAACGAAGTCAGCCCAATTGATGCTGAAGCCCCGAATTGGGACAAGGTATGATCACATTATGCCCCATCGTTGGCTCTCACTGGCATATGTCTCCCTTCCACTCCGCTCACTTCACCATTAGGTGCTGCAGTCCAATGCCTCCGATGACAAGTCGACTAAGCCGCCTGCGAAACGCCGCAAGAAGTCCTCTTTGCGCCGCTTCAAGGATGTTTGCCTGAAGCACACCTGGCTTCTGCCCTTGCTGATCCTCATTGTTCTTCTCTTCCTGTATGCGATCAACCCGACAAAATCGAATCCGCTGCACAGCGCCATCTTCCTGTCCTACCCGCAGCCCCCGAAGTACCCTGGCGGTCCGATCATGTACGGCAAGGGCCCCAAGGATATTGCTTTCGTCTCATTCTACACGGTGGTTTTGTCATTCACTCGTGAATTTATGATGCAGCGCTGGATCCGACCCTTTGCGGTGTACTGTGGCATTCGCGGAAAAGGCAAAACTGCTCGGTTCATGGAGCAGGTGTATACAGCTATCTACTTCGGAATCTTCGGTCCCTTTGGCCTGTACGTCATGTACAGATCAGACATCTGGTATTTCAACACTACGGCCATGTTTGAAGGCTTTCCTCACCGGGAGCATGAGGCGCTGTTCAAGGCCTACTACCTGCTGGAGGCGAGCTACTGGGCGCAACAGGCGATTGTCTTGATGCTTCAGTTGGAGAAGCCACGCAAGGACTTCAAGGAGCTGGTGGCACACCACATCATCACCTTGGCCCTGATTGGACTGAGCTACAGGTTCCATTTCACTTACATGGGTATCGCCGTGTATATTACGCACGACATCTCTGACTTCTTCCTTGCCGTATGTACTCCAGCCCTCCCCTTAACCCAATTTGATAATAACATGGTTGCGTTATAGACTTCCAAGACCCTCAACTACCTCGACCACTGGATCACCGCGCCGTACTTCGGTATGTTCGTCGGCATGTGGATCTATCTTCGCCACTACCTGAACCTGAAGATCCTCTGGGCTGTTCTGACCGAATTTCGCACCGTTGGACCTTTCGAGCTCAACTGGGAGACTCAGCAGTACAAGTGCTGGATCAGTCAATACATCACCTTCGCCTTGCTGGCCAGTCTGCAAGCTGTCAATTTGTTCTGGCTTTTCCTGATTCTGCGTATCTTGAAGAACTACCTCATCAGTGACATCAAGAAGGACGAGAGAAGCGATGACGAGGATACGGAGGACGAGATTCCTGTTCCCGAGGCAAGCAGCCATGCCGCCATCGCAACGGGCATCGAGGAGCCGACCCTGAGTGCACGCAGCAAAGAGAACAAGACCCCCCAAGTTCTTGTGAACGGTCAGCCGATGAACAACAAGCACTAGTCAATTGCAAATTGCAGTCAGAATGGTCTCTCACTATCCAACTGCGGCGAAAGTGCGCATTCCAGCAGTCCATCCTGGGATCGTGTAGCCCACCCTCGTGTGAGGCTTGTCTATAACTTTTAACATTCCCAAGAACATTTTATGGCATCCATGTTCGAACCCCCTCTTTTCATTTCCCATTTCCTTTTCGTGAACAAACCCGACAGTTGTATTTTCTCCATGTCTTCTTCCCTCTGCATGGTTAGCAAGTGCAAGTGGGTGTATGAGGGTAACGGCTGGCTTTGCATGCACCGTGTTTTGTGGTGTCGGTCATTTGGGCGGGCGTACCTGGAGATGCAACTTTGAAATGGATATAAGCGACGAATCTGCCACGACTGCGCACTTCCTTTTTCTGTTTCTTTGTTTTCTTCTGATGGCCGTGCGGAGAGCGGATCTTTTCTTCCTTTTCCGGAGAAGTGAAGGGCGCATTGGGACCGCCTGCAGATGTCTAATCTAATATAGTAATAGATCCGCGCTGGCTGACAATCGGTCGGTGCGATTCACTTTCGATTTCTTCCAGACATTACCTCCCGTGCATAATCACATGCCAATTGGCATTAGCATTTACTGGTTTACTTCCCGATATTTTCCAGATCCAGACTCACAATGTCTGATGCAGGAACCAAACAGGATACGAGATTATATCAGTACGTTGCTGTTTCAAATAATTCTTAAGGAAAATTCATGGTCTTATACATGAAAAAAAAACTTTGCATCATACAGAAAACCCCGTGGGAAGCGCTTCGAGGAATTTTGGTTGTCTATCTACTGCTGCGGACGATCCGGAGACACCGTCCCCTTGACCTTGGCCGTCTCCGTCTCGCCCTCCCCCTTGACACTCTTCCCGGGCTCGTTCACATGCGGATGATCCGTAGTGGCATTGGAAATCCCCTCCTGCTTACCGGAGATGGTCGACGCATTCCCCGCTTCCTTGCGAGTTGAGGGCTTTTGGGTCTGAGTTAGCATTCCTCGATCACGATACAGAAGTCTAGACTTTTCGGTACAAGAATGAGGGGGGTAAAGGATGTTGGAGGGAAACCGACCTCATCAGCCTCCGACGGCGCCTTCCCATCCGTCGAAGCGGTTGCTGCTGGTCCCGAATCCGACTCGGTCTTCTGTTCGGCGTCCCGGTCCGGTTGAGGGGCCGAGTCCTGGGCCGAGGCGGATTCTTCCTTCTCGATCGGGGCCGAGGTCGAGGTCTTGCCCTTGGGTTCGCCGTGGTGGTGCGTGTCCGGCGTGTCGTGCGAGGAGGCGGCGGCTTTGGGGCCCGTCGCCAGGAGGTAGTAGGCTCCTGGGATGCCGAGGCCGAGGGAGCCGATGAGCCTGGTTTTTTCTGGGGGTTAGTTTTATTGGTTCTGGGGGGAAGGGGGTTGTCAATGGTGAGTGGAAGAGGAAGCCAATTGAGCAAGATTGACACAGGTGAAGGGGGCCTGGAGGTAATCCCACTCCACTCACCAAGGAAGATCGGAGGACTTGTTGGTCGATTCGGCAGCTTGGGCGTATGTTCGACGAGCGAATTGCTGGGTGGGCACAGTTTGTCGCACGGTGCCGAGGGCTCGGGCGGAGGCGCGGAGGATCTGAGGGCGTGCGAGAACCATTGTGTTTGTCGATTCTAAAGATTCTAGATGGTGGGATGGGAGGAATTGAGTGTGTAGGATGGTATGGATGAAGCAATTGATGTGGGTATGGTATAATTGGGAGGGAGAGGAGAAGGAGAGAAGGAAGGAAGAAGGAAGGAAGAACAGGAAGAGAGGAGGGATCAAGGTGTGAAAAGAGGAGGCTGGCTGGATTTCGGAGGGAGGAGGAACGATGATGGTATGACTTAATGGCCAGGGAGTTGTATTATAGTTGTAGTTACACTCACGGAGCGGGAATTGCCGGCGTGATCTTATAGCTTATAGAGTAAGAGTACGGAGACTCCGTAACTACTCCGTAGCTGCATCGTACAGTATTGATTACACCAAATGATGTAATGTCCCCATGCGGAGATCGGCCGCGGTGCTTCTTCCCTCCCGGTTATTTCTCCGTATTGCGCTATACTTAGCTTACTACGGAGTACTTGAGTATGTACTTGCCTATACTTCCTTTTGCTTCTCTGATATGCATTTATCGTGAGCATCACTGCCTACAGTTCGTTGAGCCTCTTCATCATCAGCGTTTCATCCTCACTGAATGCAATGGCTAATCTTGGTGTGCTGTGGTGGCTGAATGCGCGGATGGCCGGTGCCGCCTTCCGGAGAAGCTTACTGCGGCCTCAGGCAGCCAGCTCTGATAGCATCAGCTCGACTTGATTGACTATCCGTAGTTATCACAATCACTATCGATCCGACTTTCATTCCCCTCACCACCTCCCTTCACTCTCCCCTTTACGTGTTGGCTCATCTCCTAAAGTCTGTTGCACTTTCTTGACCCCTCTTTATACCATTTCTACAAAGACCTGTACTTCGTTCTCACATCTCTGTTCACAAGCGCCCACCTTTGACACCTCAAATTCCAGTGCGGGGCTTCATCATGGGGGACCGACAAGCAGTGCAGCACACTTTGAACAACTTGCTTCATAAGCTGGATGATCCCGATCCGGATATGAGATACATGTCCCTCAATGATCTTCTTGGTCTTCTGAACAACCCAAACTCGTCATATCTGGCTCATGACCAAGGCTCCGCCTCGAAGCTGGCCGAGGGCCTCCTCAAGGCGCTTGATGATCAACACGGCGATGTCCAAAACCAGGCACTGAAATGGCATGCTCCCCGCTCTCTAGATCATCACACACACAACTGACTCCTCTATAATGAATAGTCTCGGTCCCCTCGTTCATCGACTACCATTTGAGAATCTCGCCTCTCTTCTCGAAAAGCTCACCAACCTCACTGCCTCCCAAACCATCGATACATCCGTCCCCAACACCGCGCTACGATACATCGTCACTGCTCTCCCCCGCCCTCAGGCTGGACAGCCCCCCAGCCAAGAGGCCACTTCGGCTTACTCGGCGGTGTCTCGTGTGCTCATACCTCGTCTGACGGGCCCCATACCATCACCTTCCAGCAGAAGAGGGTCTGTTGTCAAGGGTATGCTCGAGAAGGATCCATCCAAGGGGTTCAGCAGCGATGCCATTGATGTTCTTATTCAAGTTGTCACTTGCTTCGGACCACTCTTGCAGGAAGCTGAGCTGACCGCCCTGCAAAACTCCGTCATGTCCATTGTTGATAACGACACGGCTGGTACCGTGGTGACGAAGCGCGCACTGGCAGCCATCTCGGCCTTGGTCCTTCATTTCTCCGACCATCAGCTTAACCTCTTCGTGAAAGATCTCACCAAGAAGTTCAATTCTCAACCCACTACGATCCACCAGCGTCACCTTGTCGCCACGGTGGGCAGCATAGCGAAGAGCGCCCCCGCAAAGTTTGGGCCCTACCTTCCGACGCTGGCGCCATTCGTGTTCTCAGCCCTTGGTGAGGATGCAGTGGCACCAGTCAGCTGAGCTGACTTTCTTGTGATGCTCCGATGGACTCCTCAAAAGAAAAATTTCAATGTAATGTAGGATCTCGTCTCGATAGATTGATGAACTCCCGGTTATCGCTGGACCTCGTGGATTATTATACCCTCAATGAAAACCATGGTCTCATATCTACTTTCCGAACTAGTCCACTTGTGCAAGATCACCCCAGTTGTATTCTGGACGACTATCTGATATCGCCAACGATGCGCGCCTCCTGCTCGCCACGGCTGGTTGGCAGGGATGGCAGCCACTGCCGTGCCCGCGTAACTTCCCGATATTTGGATATGAACTGCTACCCAAGGAGTTTCTAGGAAAACCTCCAGGAACCGAGAAATATATTGTACTTTGAGCTGGTGTTTCTGTTGCAACTGGGCTATCAGTCAAGATGGGCATGTCTTGACGAGGAATACATGGAAGCAGGGTATGTGGTTCTTCCGGCTGGTTGCCTGTTTTTATTGCAGTCTAGCATTTGAAATCAGGCCAGAATTTCTCAGGCAACGACAGTGTCTCAGCACCAATGGAGATCTGGAGGTCTTTCCCATCGCGACTGCCTCATGGTCATGTTTGGGACAAGCTGGTCGCTTCCGGTTCACCGAGTTGATAATTGCAGCTTCCTCCTCTGTGTTGTCGGCCAGCACATTCAAAGCAGCTCTGATGCTTCTTCCTCCAGCTCTCTTCCTATTTCCTCCCACAACTTCAACATCTTATTTTCCACACAAGACTCTTATCGTGTTGTATTACACTGCATCTTAGCCTTCGTATACACTTTACCAGATTCAGAGTCGGCACTATGCGTATGCTGAATTGGGCCCTCCCCGTTTGGGGTCTTGCAGCGTACACGACTGCCCGGAACATCATCACTCTGCAGTCGAACCATCAGGTGTCCCCAATTCTTCCTCGCCCCCAGGACGATGTTAGCATTCAACCACTTGCAGTGCGTGCACCAGCTGGCATTCGATGCGGCTCCGGGGTTGGCAAATGTCCAGAGAAACTTTGCTGCTCCACTGCCGGTAGGTTTTCTTGTGCCTCTGACCGGCAAGATCCATTCTGATGCTTGCAGGCTATTGTGGGGATTCCAGGGACCACTGCAGCTCTCCTGACTGCCAAATCGACTACGGCTATTGTGACGCGCACATGACCCCAGGCGGATCCTCCACCGAAGACATTCCCCGTCCTCTTGACGGGGCTGCCCTTTACGGACCTAATATCATTCGATCCTGCACTGTCCCGGGTACTGTCGCTCTAACCTTCGATGACGGGCCCAAGGAGTTCACAAAGGATCTACTCGATCTTCTTGACCGGTACGAAGCGAAGGCGACCTTCTTCATCACCGGCAACAACAACGCCAAAGGTCAGATTGACAGCCCTGGAATGCCATGGGCAGGCTTGATTCGACGTATGCACGAGAGTGGCCATCAGCTTGCCAGCCACACCTGGTCTCACCAGGATCTTAGCAAGATCTCACGGTCCCAGCGTCGCATTCAGCTGTTATGGAACGAAGCCGCTCTGCGGAACATTCTGGGATTCTTCCCTACATACATGCGCCCTCCTTATTCTAGCTGCACGGCCGAGTCCGGCTGCCTGGCGGATATGGGGGAGCTTGGCTACCATATCATTCTATATGATATCGACACAGAGGATTACAAGCACGACAGTCCAACGGAAATCCAACGCTCCAAGGATATCTTCGATAGTAGTCTGGATGCTCGGACTGCCTTTGACCGTCCCTGGCTTGTGATTGCTCATGATGTTCATGAGCAGACCGTCCATAACCTCACGGAGCACATGTTGAAAAAGCTCACCGCCGAAGGATTCCGACCAGTGACGGTGGGTGAGTGTCTTGGAGACCCTCCCAAGTACTGGTACCGTGAAGACAACACTGTCGATGGCCGCAACTCGAGAAAGGAGGTCTTCCAGGTTCCCTCGAAGATAGTCTCATTCGACGGGATGTGTGGCGGCAATGTTACATGCGATGGGTCCCGCTTTGGGCCTTGCTGCAGTGGAACCGGATTCTGTGGCAACTTGACCACGTTCTGTGGCGAGGGCTGTCAGATTGACAACGGAGTTTGTGACAGCAAAAAGGAGGTCGTTGTCGCTGAAGAAGAACACGCCGACTTCCGACCATCTAGCAAAGTCATATCGAAGGGGAAGCCTGCCAAGTCGGGTGCGAGTCGTATGCTCCAGCCTTCGAGATTTCCCATCGAGCTTGCGGTATTGCCTTTGCTTGCTGTGCTGATCGGATAGTTCAGGGATCGAGAGCCTAGCATACTAGACTTGGCATGGTACGTCATTGATATCCTGGGTGCAGCCTGATCACTATGATTGTGAGTCTGCATGTTTAATAGGCCGAGCCTGTGTTTTGTAAGACGTTTGTACACTCCTTTGAGCATTGATAAGAATGTTATGAAGCTTGATCATGAGGGTCACTGGAGAGCAATGATGATCATTTCTGGTTCATTGGCAGCTTATAGAAGCATCCCGTCGTGGCCTTAATCGAAAACCACCATAGATATAACAATCGAGAAACAATCAAGTATAAGCACAGTAAAAAGCAAAGTGCGCCCTTGTGGGTATTCCGTAAAAGACATGAGTCATGCTTAGATCGCGATTATACAGTCTGGAGCCCCCCCTCCCTCAAACAATATACGTATCTTGAAAGAATAAAAGTAAATAAGAGACTCCTATTTCGATTCCCAACGACCGTTAAGTTCTCTGCTCGGAGAACTGGGAATGGGAAATCACCGCTTAACCACTTTCAACAATGGGGCAATCCGAGCCCGCCGACTCAGCCCGACCCGGAAGGGCACCTTACTCGACGACGAGATGGGACTGTGTTTGTCGGGGCCCTTGTTCGGTTTCAACGGGGTGACAGGAACCGTTTCGACGGGCTGCGGGTCTGGCTGCGGATGGGGAGTGGGATCTGCTTGCTTTGGGGGTGGCATTTGCTCCTCCCCTTCTCGAACACCCTGATGAGCATTGTTGAGGTGGTTGTCGAGGGAGTCATCATCCGGTCCATGCGGATTTCCCATTGTATCACTCTGCTCAGGGAGACGGATCTGTTCTTGCTCTTCCAATGCCGGAGTGTCGGGCTCGGGCTCGGGATTCTTTCTCTTGCGGCCGCGTTTCTTGGGTGCTGGTGCTGCTGGTGCTGCCGCCGCCGCCGCTACGAGCTCGAAATTCTCGCTCGCCTTGGGGAAGGAACTAGCCTCTGTGGATTGATGATGGGCTGGTAGGGGGGGAAATTCGACCGCGGAGCTAGGGCCCCGACGCGGTCTTGCGTCTTCCTCCTTTGTTGTGTCTTCCTCGACCCAGAGTACGTCGGGTTCGATATCGGATTCGTAGGTCTTGGTCAGGGTGATGGAGGTGGTTTTGCCGCGTTTGAGCTTTTTCTTCTTCGGTTCTTTGGGTTTGACGGCAGGGGCGGTTGTTTGCGAGATTGGGGATTCTGCGGGGATGTTGTTGTTGTTGTTGTTTTCGGTGAGATTGTGGTTGTGATTTGGGGAGGGATCGGTTGTCGTGGGTTGCGGTGGGGGATCTTGATTCAATGGTTCTGAGGGGTCGGTGGGCGCTGGTTTGGGGTTCTTGGGCGGTCGGCCGGGTTTGCGCTTTTCGGCTTTATTGTTGGTGTTGGGGGGTTCGGTTGTGGTTGGAGGGGGCTGTGGAGGGGTTTGGGTGTCTGTGGTGGTAGTAAAGGGTTGGGCGGCTTCGTTATCCTCGGCGTCGTCGTCGATGACGATCACGTTCGAGGTGGTTGAGGCATAAGATTTTGGCAGAGATGGTGCGTATTCCTGCTGCTGCTGCTGCTGCTGCTCCTGCTGTTGTTTCTTCTTGCGGCCGCGTTTCTTTTCCACCACGGGGATTTCCATAGCTGGCACTTGAATAGCAATCAGCTCATCCGTGCTCAGTTGAGTAGGGAGCAGTGGCGTTGACACGGCGGTGCGGTTCGGGGTTGGGTTGCTCGTTGGTGTGCTCTTGTGTTGATTCTCGGATTTTGAACGGCTTGCTTTGACAGCTGAAGGGGCGGGGGAGGGTTGAGTGTCGTGCGGAGAGAAAGGAGTCGCTTGGAGGGAGGCCACTCGGCGAGGAGAGGAGGTCGGTGCTACTTCGGTGGGGACGGTTGCCGCGGAGTTGCTGAAGTTGTTATGATGATGGTGGTCGGTATCCTCGGGGTACACATTCTGAAGAGGTGGGAGCGACGCCTCGAAGACGTTGAAGGATGAGGAGGATGTTTGTGCGGCCGCGGAGGAGGGATCGAAGCTTGGGATAGAAGAGAAATCGTGATGGTGTGGTCGTATTGGCACTTCGACGTGGGTGTGCATAGTGTAAAGATCGGAGAGAGGTGCTTCGTATTGCTGGGGTGGCGGGGTAGCATTGAGGCTGGAGGTGTTGGGACGTGTGTTGGACGATAGCGAAAGCCCTGCCTGCGCCGAATTGATATTGCTATCTATGGCGCTGTACGATGATGGATCGCTGATGTATGGATAGCCGGTGGGGTTAACGCTGGTCTGTTCTTCTAATTGTTGGGGTATCGTGGTTTCTGCATGGATCGATTCCGAGTAGCCGTGTTCATGGGGATGCTGCCTTGATGGGTCAACCATCTGAACCTCATCGTCGTCAAAGAGTCGTTGCTGGGCGAGTCCAATCTCAGTCATCATCGAGCCTTTTGCATAGCCTTGGTTAGGATGAGTGTTCATGATGAAAGCAAAGCAAATGCATGCAACTCAAGAGTCCTACCCATAGATCCGCCTCCCGAATTCGTGGGGACCCATCTCTCTGGTGGTTGGTGCTGTGGAGACGAGTGCCCCGGAGGCAGTCTTTCCTGAGATTGTAGGTATTGGTCGAAGTCGATATTCATGCTCGCATCATAGTTGCCCTCAATCTCCCGGTGTCTTTGTACATCGGCCTGTAGGTGGTCGTCGGCATGCGCGTTATCGTATTCCTGCACCGGGGAATGGGGTCCCACAACAGGATCATCCTCATCGTCCGAGTCTTGAATCACACGGTCATAAGACATGTTCTCGGCTAGGATCGTGCATCGATGGGACTGGGACGCACTGCTGTGCTGTACTGTACACAGCCTTCTGCTAATGAGACTCGGTGAATTCCAATAATATTTGGTCTTGTCGCGTCCCGCCGATACGAAAATCCCCAGATGACGCGAGATCACGTGGTGATAAGACTGACCTCCCTCTTTAGACAAGTAACTATGTTACTCCGTACAGTGGCTAGTTAGGTCATATTTAAATCGAAACACCCAAACACACCGAGGTATGTGATATCATGATCTATTCACTTCAAATGCAAGGCTGTGCTAGAAACAAAAAGGCTGCATCACTCCATAGTACTCTGGGCTCGCATCACCCCCCGTCCGAAAAACTCGCTGATAACCCCGAATCGGTCCTTCGAGCGCTGCAGTTCTCCCTTGAACAGGTCGTGTTGATCTGCCGATTCGACCTGCCGCTTGCGGATGGCTTTGATGGTAGAGTTTTGTGGTGCACAAGCTGGACATTCCGCATCTTCGTCCACCCTGTTGAGGCACCGCTGGTGGAAAGAATGTTTGCAGAGAAAGTGAACCGTAGGCAGATCGAGTGCGCCACCGCAGGAGTTACACCGGCGCGATTGGAATACTACCGGTTGGGTCCCCAATTGCTCCAGCTCCTTACGCTTACTTTCAGTCTCCTTGCTGTAACTATTGATCAATCGGCGGTTCTGGATGCTGATGTTAGCGCGAGAAAAACCATGGATCGGGTAGGGTAACAAACCGTAGAGATTTCCTTCCTTTCGCGTTCAATGTTCTCGCTGAGGTACTTCTTGACACGACCCATCGTGACGACTGCGTTGTTACTCAAAGTCTGAATGACCTGCAGCGGGGTCATAAGACCAGCTTCGTCAACACGTTTGAGAACAGCATCCAGTTCGTCTCCTGCTTCCTCGAGAATCTTGGGGCTTGAAGCAAAATAGGTAAGCGCATCCACGTAGAGCTGCGGATCTTCCGGTCCATATTTCTTCAACGCTTTGATAGCACCGCTGGTATCCTTTGCCGATGTAAAAGAACGGAAGATGTCTGATCGCAGACCTTCTTGCTCGCGGACAAGAGTGGATCCCTCCCGAAAGCCGGACAAGTCGGATAACAGCAGAACACTCGAGGTGGATATAGGTATCTAAGAATATCAGTAACGAAGTGAGACCGGTCTGGGTGATTCCCCTACATCTTTCCCCTCGATGAGCTTTTTGGCTTTGTTCTCCCAAGCCTCCTTGTCAGTAGCATCCTTCTTCCGACCTGCAGTATCCAGATACATTTCAAAGAGGGTTGTATAGAGGTCAATCTTCTCATCCTCTTTCAAATCCTCTTTCTCGATAAGAGCTTCGAGGAATGAGATAAACTCATCGGGGTGGCCGACGAATACTGAAAAGGCGGTTCTTGGCTTTGGAACCTGATATTCTATCAATTCTTCGACATCTTCACCTTGGACTTCGCGTGAGCTTTCCAAAGGTTCAGCCTTCGGTCCAGAACTAGCATTCATCAGAGGAAGAGGGAGAAAGGCTGCTAGACTCTGTAAAGTGCTACTCTGCTGCGCTTGTGGTTCAACGGGGGTCTCAACTTCAGTCCTTGGCCTGTACTGCCCCTTGTAGTATTTCGTGAAGAGCTCAGTGGTTTTCTCCGGGCAGTTGGAGAGCAACACCCGGGCATATTTCATCAGGTTGTGGTAAGCCTTGAATATGTCAGTCTAGAATATGGAGTTAAGTGCATATTTACTGACCAATTCTGGATCCAGCCTCCAAATGTACTCCAAAGCCTCGGCGTATTTCTTTGAGTCCTCAATCAGGATATCAACGACCATATCATTTTCACCATACTTCGTGGCAAGATAGGCCGCTTGTTCGTAATACCCACCCTGCCTACACATTGCGATGGCAGTCTCAAGGTCAAACTTCAGCTCTCCAGGGGCTTTGATGAATTCATCTAGTTTGGTCGTGTCCTTCAATTTGGCGTAGCAATTCAGTAGTAGCGTGGTGTGATCAACTGTGGCTTTATCATGGTCGTGTAACTCCTCCAGATATTCAATGAGGTTGTGTATTCGCTGGGTATCCAGATACTATATCCTGCTCAGCGCACTCATTGGCAACATGGAATTTGGGGCATCCTTACCTTTCGAATGACTTGCGATGGTTCTGTGTTATCAATCGCTCGAAGATACTGTTGCATTGCAGTGTCGTAGTCGCCCCTTTGATATAAGAAATCTCCGTACTTTCGGTAGATAGCATTCTGCTGCAGAGTGTCCACACCAGTCTTTTGGGCGATATTGATAGCCAGAATGTATAGGTTCCGTTGATAAAGAATCTCAAGCTTCTGTTGGAGGGTCTTTTCGCGATACCGATAGAGCTACCGAGTCTCAGCATCGAGGTCAAGTCCGAGCGGAAGTTGACATACCTTGCCATCCGTGGTAAGAAGAAAGAGATCGCCCCATTCGATGAATATCTTTTTGACGGCAGATACGAGCGACTCGGAGTGCGCGATGAATTTCAAATCCGTGTCCAGGAGCGTAAACATGGTCGTCTTAAAGATGTCGTCCGCCTGGCTGACATTGAGGTTGCGCAAAGCGTCGGGCCGCGAGGATGTGTCGCGTGGCGGGCAGACCAATGCGATGTAGTCCTTAAAAATGTTGATCGAGTCTTTCCGACTTTCGAAAGCGTAACTGGGTCCGCGTCCGTGTGACCCATAGGTATATATCGCATCCTCGCGAGCAACGAGGACATCGCCGGTATCCTTGTCCAGGCACATGCAGCCAACGGCACAGCCCATGTCATCCAGGATGCGCGCCGGTTGGCCCTGACCTCTGCCAGAGATGATCTGGGCCAGCATTCGGCTAGTCGTCGAGATATATAAGGTCGCGACCGGACCACTCTGTACCTCGAGTCCCGTCACTGGCTCCTCTGACTCGAACACAATGCGCTGCCTTGCTCCGCGGTCGTGAATCAGGTCACCGCGGATAATCGTGACAGACCCATTCGCAAATCCAACTGCCACCTGGGACAGGTCGTCCAGAGCAGTGAACGCAGAAACCTAAGCCATCAATATGGTGTCTTCGGATCCTGACGTATAATGTAGAGCACATACGGGAAATATCCTCCTCGCATTCTGGATGGACGTCGTTGACAGGCATCGTGGGGCACCGGTCTTCTTCTCGATCTTGTCGAGGGCCCAGACCTTCAATATCGGTTCGTTCGGAAGATCTTCCGCGATGGTCAACAGCAATGAGGATGCGTCTATCTGCTTGATGTGTGCGATCGAGCCGGTCTCCGATGCCTTGAACGAGCGGACGAGTTTGAAAGACGAGGAGATGATATGGACAAAGCCATCGTTGGAGCCGAGGAAAAGGTGAGAGGAGCCGGAGCAGAGGGAGAGAATATCAGACTATGTTAGACGCTGTATCAGCAGATAGAGCGACGAGGCTGGACGCGAACAAAAGCACGGGGGGGGGAGGGGCCATACACCGAGAATAGATGAGCTCTCCTCCGGGAGCTTCACCGACGAGACATCGAAGAAGTTGAACGCTTTCCACTATTTCAGGGCGCATTAGTAACATGAGGAGGCTGAGGAGCTAAAATATGGAGCGTGCAGTCTCACTGATGTCAAAGCCATTTGGACACAGCCCACGCCATGGACTGAGGAGGTGAGCGATTAGCGGGATGGGGAGGAAGTGCAAGCTGGAGTGACATTGACTTGCGTGGAGTAACTTAAGACTAACTAGTCTCCATCCGCCGGATGAGCTCCGCCGCGCTAATTCCGCCCGCCCGCCCGTATCTCCGACTGTGAGGTCATTCTTGGAGCTTTTCGGATTGTTTACATCTTTTGCTTTTGTGGAGGTCGAAGTGCACTGCAGTTAGTTGCAAGCTTGATATAGCACTTGAACCTATCTGGCATAGGACCGGGAACTATGCTCTTGATCGGTTCTTGTCTCTGATGTCAATTGCATGGTGGGTTCGTGGTGGTGGCATTTCTGTATATTCTTGCAGGCACGAACCTGCGTTTCTCAGAGTGTATCACATCATAACCAACCGATCTTCAACGGTCTCAAGACACTTCGAACCGTATGGGAAGAGGGATTCAGGAGAAAAGACGTCAAGTATTCAATAAACTATATTCACAAGGATATCATATCTCATAATGTGCGTCTATGTCGCTATGAAGCCCGGATGAAAGCTATGCCCGCAAAAAAGGGGGAAAGAAAAAAGAAATAGCTCAATGTACAAGAAGACTACCAGAGAACCAAGACCGCCTCGTGGCGCCACAAGCAAGTGATTGCCGTGATCGTCTTCTAAACCAAGTCACCATCAATGATTTTCTCAAGCATCTAGGCTTACCGCTGACCGGCCTGTGCCAGAGGATGACCCCTTCTTATTCGGATGTGCGCATCGTTTGATTTCCTGACCTATGTCGAAGCTTTCCTTTAACCAGCTCCCGGCCTCAGCAATTGCTTCGTTGAGGTTGAAACTTTCAGCACCCATCGCGCCTCCCTGACCGTCCTCACCCGTGGTACGCATAGTTCCGGAGAAGGTCATCTCCAAATCTTCTCCCTGAGTGGGATCTAAGAGATCCGCATGATCCGGCGGCTGAGATGATTCAATATTGAGGCTCTCGTCATTGGCATAGTCCGGGATGGGGGAGGATAAAGCCCCCTCGAAAGACGATCTTCCTGGCTTAGTGCTAGACTCAGGATATTGTGGAGTCAAAAATCGAGGTTTAGACCTCTTCTCAGTACTGAGCGTGAATGGCGTGACGGCGTCAATGAGGTATTGTGTGCTCATCACGGGGCCTTTCATCGTCCCGGGTGCCTTGTTGCCTGGCATGTTCTCGAGCCCACCGGGTGTAGCCACTCTGCAAAACGGCGTGATATCATTGCGAGATATAGAACTTGGGTTTGCAGCCCGACCAGGAGTATTTTCTGGGCTTTCAAGGTCTTTCTGAAATGATATCTGGGCGTGAAGAAGAGCGGCCTGTGTATTGAACTGCGGGTCGGGAATAGTCTCTTCGTCACTCTGAGTATGAGCCTTTGCGGCAGAGATCGTATGTAGCGAGGTAGCGTTGTGCGTAATGGCTGGATTCAGGGGGTTATGTTGCGCTGAGGGTAATTTGTCACTCACGTTTGCCGCTACATGCTCGAAGTTGGACGATGCCCTCTCTGTCGATGAGATGACTTGCGATGTAGCAGCATCTGTGACCTGCACTTCATCTGTAACCTGCGGCTGAGAAGCAGGCGCACTCTTCTCATCTGCGGCAGGGGGATCGGGCGAGTCGAGCCGGATAGCGTCTTCCGGAGATGCGCCGTGCGAGGGTCGATTATCATGGCATTGATGGTCGTTGTCCTCAGTCATATCGATTTTATTGGGACGATCCTCTTGCTTCTGATGCGCAGACGTAGAATTGGCCTCCTGCTTGCCGTGTCCGGAGGTCTTTGCGCGCCGGTACTCAAATTTCGGCAGGTGCGAGGACGAGGAAAGGACATAAAGCGAGCCTTCCTGGTTTGCTGCATCGGAAGAAATTCCTTGAGGATCAGATTGACTACTGCGCTGCTCCTTGAAGGCAGGAACCTTGACACTGTCCGGTACACGATGAACATCACGTTTGTCCTCGCGCAAGTGATCAAAATCTTTCCGATGATCCCTGACTGCCCATCGGTAGTCAGTCGCGGGTACTTGTATGATGTTGTCCTTTGCTCCCTGACGGCGAGACGATATAGTTGCCGTAGGGGATGTCGGCGGATTGACAGTTCGAAACCCAATTCCGGCACAGTCCTTCTTCAGCCAACCTCTGTTTGTGTGTGGAGACGGGTGGCCCTTGGAGACAAATGTATCTTTAGGTGTGGCGCTTGCAACTCGTATATCTCTGCTGTTGCCCCGCGCTCGTTTGTTAGAGGATCCTGTGGTCGAATCCTTCCCGGATTCTAGATTCGGAATTGTCTCGGGATGTTGAGTGGAAGGTTGCGAGCGTTGCGTATCACGAGACTCGTGGTGGTATAGTGGTCGTTTTCGCGGATTCGTCTCCGGGATCACTGGCCGTTTTTGATTTTCATCCTCGGTACCCTCCGATCCGCCATACCTGCACCGATCCTTTCTCCAAGGATTGACCCATCCATTGTCGAAAGGTCCTCGAAGCGATGCAGACAAAAGAAAAAGCGGTGAGCCTTGTAGATAAGCTTCAGCAAGCTTCTCAATTCTCCGATGTCGAGCCAGACGCTCAGTAGGATCTAAGTCGTCATCGGAGCCAGCAAGAGTGTCGAGGTCACTGTCCGGTTGGGGTAGCGAGCATGAATCGAAGGAGAGCGGGGATATTGGGCGACGAGGTGGCATCGGTGAAATGATGATGCATTCATTGATCGTTCGGATAGGGGGAATTCAAGGGTGCAGCAGCTTGGCACTGGCTGCATCTGGCGGAGAATGGGGGATTTTCGTATTGTAGAGTGACCCTCATAGCTTCTGAAGTAAGTGATTGTCAGGACATCATCTTTTCATCCTCAGCTCCAAACTGTTCGAAGTGTCTAGGCTGCTGTCTGGCTGTCACGCGAGAAGAAAAACCACTTAACGCGTGGATTGGGTGGATGCCCCAGCAACGTGTCGTTGGCTGGGTTTATGTCAGCACCCGTCAATTGTTGACTAGTTACTTACCCTTTTCGGCATTGTATTTAATCGGGACCGAGGACTTTCGTGGACCTAACTAAGTACAAGCTACAAGTAATCAGTCGTGAGTTTAAGTGATAAGTTACTGCTTACAATAGGTTCATGGCAGCCCTCAATTGAGGCTAGCGCATCTTCCCACAGTACTCATTGCCTGAGGTTGTGGGGTTCTGGCTGGACCCCTAGGAAACAGGGAACTCTAGCCCTGCTAGTATCATTGTTGTTGCGCAGATGCCGATAACATAATATCTACAGCCAATTTTATCATTCTCTATACAGGAATCGAATCAAATTGGCTTCAGTTCTTTGGCCAGTAGTGCGCTTTATGCAAGGAACTGTAGCCCTAGGACTCGCTGGGTCCTTACCAGATGCCTACTAACAAACCCAACGCTAGCGATACACTCTGGCCAAGAAAAAGCCAGTTTTGTGCCCATCTTACGTATGGTTTCTTCCTAACCCAACACGAGAGCTTGGTCTGGGACTTGAAAGAGCGCCATGCTTTTGGGGCAAATTGTGTCGAGGAACCTGAAACACCCAACCTGCAACCTTGCAGGGTTGGCCTGAGATCTTCCCTCATCGATCCCTCGCGCCGACACAATGTCAACTGCTGAGCATGAGACTTGAAGCACTGTATATGAACTAGACCCGACAAGGTGCTCGTTGACTATATCGGACTTGGAGCTGCAATTGGCTGGAGAGGGTCCGATGCCAACGCACCAGAACGCAAGCTTTCAACTTTCAGGTTGTAATTTACGCCGTAATGTACTCCATTACTGTAGGTACTGCAGTAGCTTACAGATAAAGAGGAATGGATCGAGCCCAAGCAAGGCATGAGACTGGTCATTTCCCCTCGAGGGGTGGGGGGTTTAAAAGGTAAAATTAGATAGGAAAGGATGTAGGGGACGAGCACGGTCTCAGGGAAGCACATGCGTGCCACACTGCCACCTGTGATTTATCACGGGGAGATAAAAAAGTGGATAAAGTGATTGAGCTGACAGTTCCATCGTGGCGGGGAAGAAAAAAGAAAAACAGACTGGAAATTGAAAACTGAAAGATCGAAAGATAGTCTGTAAGTTAGTCTGTAGACTCAAAACAATCGAAAAGTAGGAAGTAAGTATAGCCAGCCCGGTATTAAATACGGTAAGGTTGCCCCGACCACATCTACAGTAGGTTAGCTCTACCTGTTATCAATATTACTCCCGCATCGTCCATCAAACAATTTATTGATTATTCCCAACCCTCCCAAAGTGTGTGTGTCTCTCTGTCTCGCATGTTCCCGCAACATCCTTATACGCCTTCATTGTTGGTGGTGTTCAATGCCTTTGATTTATTTCTCCATTTCTATTCTTGGATGAGGGTTCCTTGACCCATGGTCGCCCTGCAGCTGTTAATTTCCGCTGTGCTTGCATTCACGGACATTGTGAATCGCGACGCGCTGTCCCCAGCTTGCCCTCCGCCCAACCTCCGAGACCACTACCCCCCTCCCCCCCCCTCTCCTTAACTTCCACCCCCCAGCTTTGGTGATCGCAAACCTTTCAGAAAATGAGCAACAACCCTCGATGGCTGGAGAATCTTACAGACGACTGGGTCCCAGTCCCTGCACCTGGAACTCCTGGAACGCCCGGCACTCCCACCAGCCCAATCCTATCCCGATCATTCACCCATTCCCGACGGTCTAGCCTACAAAACTCTCCTAGTCGCATTCCTGTTCCCGCGCGTCGCTCCGTCGGCCCTTCTCCTGACTCTTTCAGGAAGAAAGTTTCCAGACCGTGCCACTTCATTAAACGTGAACCACCCACACCTAAGACCCCTCGTACCCCCAAGACCCCCTCCAAGCTACGATCGCCGCTCCCTCCCCCAGAGAAGTCCAACAAGAGCAGCCCGAAACCGATCCCGAACCCGCCCTCGCTCCGTAAACAGTCGTCTGCCATGGACACGAGGTCGCCGTTGCGATCGGTTTCGAATGTCTCCGGTGAATCGGAACAACAAAGCACGGTTCAGGTTAGACCAAATAAGGGCAAAGGCAAGGAAGGCACCCCAGAATGGAAGAGAAGACTGGTGCACGGAAACATCGCCGCTGGGGAGCAGCGCGACTTATTTGCGCCGATTGGGCTGGAGAGTGTTTTCAAACCTCCGACCCCGGGCACCGAAAAGACGCACGAGGAGGCGCTATCGCGATTGAAACAGTTAGACAGTATGTGGCACTTTACGACCCCAGTAGGCTATGACGATGCCAGTTTCCAAGATCCTTCATCATTTGGCGCATACAACGACGAAGATTCAGTGGGCCACAGTCCGAAGTCGTCACCGAAGCAGGAAGAGGCTCGGAGCAGTCCGCTGGGTTCGCCAGGATCACCAGGATCACCAAGGTCGCCAGGATCACCAAGGTCGCCAGGATCACCAAGGTTGCCAGGTTCGCCAGGGTCGCCAGGGTCGCGCAGCAGGATGCGAGCCATGAGCAAAGAATCAAAGCGACCCTCACCAGAAAATGACGAACACCTCGACGTTTCCTTCGCCGACACACAACAAAGAACCGCGAGCGGCATGGAGGATTTGCGCAATGAAGACATAACACCAATCACGTTCACACGCACGAACACAGTTGACGGACAGACTACGT